CACAGTTTCTGATAGCCAGCAAATTACCCATAACATAATAAAATTCTGAGAAAAGGCTAGTATGTGGTAGCAGTGTTCGAATATGAGGGGGATAGAGCAACTTTTTTGTGTGGATTGAGGGTGTACGTGGAAAGTGAAGCAGGTTCTAGACGTTAATCACTTTAACGAAACCCACGACCACGAGTTGGCTACTAACAACCCAAAACCATACTGATGGTGAATCTGGAATTCGAAAGTGCCATTCAACTTTACAGAACGAATTTTAGCGCTCTGGGCGATCGGGTCTACAGGGGTTTGATACACCAATTAATTCTGTTTAACAGACTCGAACTAATCGAGATAGCGACATGTAGGCCACCTAAAGATAACTCTTGTTCTTTTCGACCCGTGAAGATCGGGTTAGAATTGATCTTCAGTAACCCATGCTTGTAAGAGGCGACTAACGTGATTGGGTGGTCAGGCTCGCTGACTGGATTGACACATGTCATCGTATACCAATTGCGTAGATTGATGGTCATGCTGTTGATCCCTGGATTGTCTGGTCCAGACTCTATTATTTACAGACCGCCGCAATATAGCTGGAATATTGCTGAGTGCGGCGTAAAACTAAACTCACTCACTCACTCTTGTTCTTTTCGCTTAATGTCATTGTCTTCACGCACACACTCTCCTCTACCGAGCGATGTTCATACCGCCCTTGTACTACCTATCCCTCACAAAATACTATTCCATCGTGTGTTGATGTTTTTCATGACTTCTAAATGTTCAGAAAGTTCGATCAATACTATGTAAGAGTTCATGAAACCCTATAATCCCCCTAACCACATTGCAAACAGTAAAAGCCACCGTTACTATGACGATGATGTATGTGTATCGTCTATACATATGTTATTTATGCACTAGCATGGATTCAGTATGAATGGCCGGGAAATATCGACAAATACTTACTCTTGATGAGATACATCATATGAATAGATAATTCCCACTCTTTACAGACATCGAATCATACATACATATTCACATTAATATCAAACATTTACCCGGTTTGATAAACACAATTCTACCCAAGGACATTTTCGTTCATTGATTGAATTAATTCAGATCGGGCTGCCACTTTGTCATGAAGCTAGAAAAAGCAGTAGCACGAAAAACAGATTACGACGGAATGGCATGGAAACTATTAATTATATACTACATCCCAGAGTATGTGTCAGCGTCAGTACCAACACGGCTGTTTATCTGTCAAGGTCGTGAAGAGATTGCTAGTTCACGTTGCAGTATTTACAACACGTTCTGGTGTTGGCTGGATGGAAAGATCAATGATCGAGCTACAGTCAGATACCACACGGTGTAAAGGATGAGCGATAAGTCTGTTATATCATGCCTCCTGACTAACGCCACTGGCCAGTCATTGAACTGGCTCTAACTAGCGGCCTTCGTCGTTAATAACAACAGGCTCTCATTGTGATTGGGTTTTACATCTGGAAGCCTTCATCTAGACGTTCGATATCTAATGAAGTGGTGCTTACGCTGCTTGCAGCAATAAGAGAATGACGCCTACCTTGTTGTAACAGAGAGATTATACCTACCGTGTTTATAGCAATAAGGGAATATCGCCTACCTTGTCGTAACAGAGAGATTATACCTACCGTGTTTACAACAATACGGGAATAACGCCTTCCTTGTCGTAACAGATAGATTATACCTACCGTGTTTACAGCAATAAGGGAATAGCGCATTCCTTGCCAATACTAAAAGATTTTACCTACCGTGTTTACAGCAATAAGAGAATAACGCCTACCTTGTCGTAACAGAGAGATTATACCAACCGTGTTAACAGCAATAAGGGAATAGCGCATTCCTTGTCGTCATGGAGAGATTATACTTACCGTGTTTAAAGCAATAAGGGAATAACGCATACCTTGCCATTACAGAGAAATACCTACCGTGTTTGTATCGGGAATAACGCCTACCTTGTCGTAAGAGAGATTATACCTACCGTGTTTACAGCAATAACGAGACTAACACCTACCTATATGATGGAAAGATTATACCTACCGTACAGCAATAAGGGAATAGCGCATTCCTTGCTTATAAAAGATTTTACCTACCGTGTTTACAGCAATAAAGAAATAACATCTACCTTGTCGTAACAGAAGATTATACCAACCGTGTTTGCTGCAATAAAGGGAATAACGCCTACCTAGTGGCATTGAAGGGATCATGCCTTCTGCAATGAAAGCAATAACACCTAACTATACTATTGAAGGGATAGTGCCTTCTGCAATAAATGGAATAACACCTACTATGTGGCATTGAAGGAATAGTGCCTACTGCAATAAAGGGAATAACACCTACTATGTGGCATTGAAGGGATCATGCCTTCTGCAATAAAGGGAATAACACCTACTATGTGGCATTGAAGGGATCATGCCTTCTGCAATAAAGGGAATAACACCTACTATGTGGCATTGAAGGGATAGTGCCTTCTGCAATAAAGGGAATAACACCTACTATGTGGCATTGAAGGGATAGTGCCTTCTGCAATAAAGGGAATAACACCTACAATATGACATAAAACAGTACATGCCTATTCCAATAAAGGGAATAACAAGTACTATATGACATTAAAGAGTACATGCCATTAATGAGATAATGCGTACATCTGTCGAGGGAATAAAGCAAAGCCCTATCAAAGTGAAGATATTATGTCTACCGCCTTAAAGTGAATATATAATGCTTGTGTGTCAAAGGGGAGACCAAGTGCCCTACCCTGTCCTTGGAGAAGAAATCAGCATGCTATGTATTATACGGCATAATGCTAACATAAACGCATGATTGTTCTAATAACATGCATCGTTGTTGCCAATAGCTTATGTAAGATGTAATCTACTTGAAATTTCGTTGGTTGATGTGCCTAGATCATATTTGATTTCGGTTATCTATCTTTTGATTCAAACTGGTTGTTGACCATTGAAACTCTCGTGAAAATGAAGTGTGCACCCTCTTTCTCAAGAGCGTGCACGCTCCCTTTCTCAAGAGTGTGCACCCTCCCTTTCTCAAGAGTGTGCACCCTCCCATTCTCAAAAAGCTGTATTTGCCCCTGTGCAATACGGTATATATGCCTATGATCCCGTATTGGGCATGTCATTCAAGACACCACGACATGCTGGATGTACCTACTGATACAGCTACACCTGAGTTCAAAGCACTGTATCTCTGGTGGCCTCACCTTGCCCCAGGTCAGACCTGGCCTGGTAATCACCATGCATCTGGCATTTGTCTTACAGTACGGCACAGACTGAAACAAAGCTTATACCGGGGAAGCGATAGCGTTCCACAAATTATACATGTACACTATTATACACAATTGTGCAAATCGGCATGTGACTCTTATAATAAAATATATATCTTCTTCTCTTCTTCATATACAGGTTTTCCAGTCATCACTCAAACTGTCCCGACAGTACATAGTTGGATAATATGACACAACATAATGTCAAGTGTAAAGCAAGGTAATAGTTGTTGGTATTAATGTATAAAAGCTCAACCTGCCCTTCTCTTTGTATATATACAAGACAGACTTCGGTGCCATACGAGGGTTCCACCGAAACAGGCATGACTTAACAAAAGAACAGATGGGCGTTTTCCTAACCAAACAAAGGGCTCGTTTTCGTTGCAAGACGTGGATGAGTCACGTTGAATAAATGATTCAGACAAAAATGCATCCACTATAGTGTCAGATCTCATCTCTTTATCTGCACACTTTGCCATTATCCAAACTGCATGCTATCAGTCACGGAAGAAGTCGTCTTAACACTAACGTTAATCTATGAACTGCGAGAAAAGATCCGGTTTCGAGTGAGGCCACACGAGCAACCTTTTACTGATGTCGGAGAACAAAAGAAGAGGGGGGTGGGTCGAAAAGAAGGCTTATAGGGAACTCCCAATTAATATATTACATCGTTCGTGATCGCTGTCGTAACTCCTACCTTCCGCACGAGTCTTGGCTCCAGGAGATTCGTATGTCTATCCAAATCCTTGTTCTGGTGAATGCAAGACGTTTAGCAACAACGTGAGCTATAGTGAGGTCCGCCAGTCGGCTATAAACAGGGTTTAAAGGAGGGAGTTTGTTCATTGCAAGCTCCCCGCGCAATTATTGACGGGAAATATTGATTCAGAAGTAACCATGTTAAGCCCGCCGTGTCAGCGCATTGAGCCAACCTAGCTACACAATCGCATCAGCTGATTACAAATTTCTTCTCATTGGGCACTATCCCTTAATAAACATTCTATTGGGTAACTGTGGAAATTTTAGCCTTAGTGAGAGCGTTTAGGTTCTGAAAATGTTATTTGAATGCATGACAATCAACCATTAGTAAGTAGGCAATATATCTACAGACACCTACATTGCACGATTAATAATGTAAACTTTGACTAATGAACGAACTATAGAAGACGGGTTTGTCTATCATGGTTTGAGGTGTTTTTCATTTCTATTTACCATGATACCATGCTCGTTATCGAGACGCCGAATGAGTTCAAGATACAAATTTATTATCTGTAGCTTAATATCATTGAACTGTTAGGCAATTCAACTGAATTAAGTCAATTTCGTTTATCTAATTCATCCGCGCCCAGATGTTGCCTTTGTTAGTATTGTCCATAAGATATTCGCATGTGTGATAAAATCTATAGCTAGCAGCGGGGTTTACAGGTACAGCTTCTACGCATATATGTATGAGGTCAATAATTTGAAAGCTAGCATAATGTTATGTTTATACAATATAGACCATAATTCAAAACATTTACACAAAAATACATAACTGTGTAATGAATTCCAATACCTGAATGAATTAATACTAAAAAAATGAAACTCTAACGGTATAAACATCCATGACAAACATACAGTTCAAATCATTCGACTTTAGACATCTTACACTGGTGGTAACACCGAATGTAACGTGGATGTATGTAGAGTATTCGCAAAGATGACCTACCTTCAGGCAGCAATTTTTAAGGTATCAATGTCCACGTTTTACTTGTTTAAGGGTAAGAGGTCTCCATACGCTCCTGTCACGCTCATTTGAGGGGTGACATACATTCGGTGGAGCAGAACGATGGATATGTGTTGGTAGCCTCAAGATCGATATATAACTGATAGAAAGGCGAACGTCTCCTGTGCGCTACGTCACTGACAGCTGTGCCGGCGGTAATCGATATTGCACACGCGCTCTTATCACACGCATCAAGAGGTTGTTTATCTTGAGGAAATTTAATATGCATCGTTCGTTGCTTATGAAAGGTTTAATCTTTAATATTACTGCGTGGGTAGTTTTTGTGTGATTTCATATATTATTATTATAGAAAGCATATGGCCTAAACGTTAGGGGTGAATGATCATGGTGCAATGACGCCATTAGCCTATATCATCAAAATAGATTTCAAAATCTGGCCCCAGAAAATCAAGCCCTTGGGGTCACGAGCTAATGCTTTAACCACTGTGCTATCATACGGCCCTTCATCCATATCAGAATTTCTAGCTTTTAAATGATGAAGTTTGAACATGATATTGGTTCGGTTGACGTCATTTTTTGATGAATTTGACCATATCTAAATAACACATCAGGGTGGCTGAAAAGATCCAAACTGAATGTGAAGACTGCTTTTCTTTTCTTTTCTTTTCAAAACAAACGTTCTTGTCAAGAGTAAGGTCACTTATTTCACGACGGTGAGGTGCCTGGCCTCCACAGCTGCACAAGCAAGCCCACGCCCCCGTGTGTAAAGTCCCAAAATCACGTTTAAAATGATTTCTCAAGGTTTGCAAGAGGTGGAAATCGACAGGTACCAGAGGCGGTGAATACAGCGGATGCGGGATGAATGTACTGCCACAGTCATGCCTTGCAACCATGGCGACAACAGGCCCGCGTTCTCCAAGTGGAACAAACACCTCTAGTCACACGGTTGATGTTCTCACTCTGGTTCTTGGTCAGGTTAATATAATATTCGCAATTAATGGTCTGACATTCTGGGAAGTAGTCGAACATGTAAGAATTCCTGTCGTATACCAGAAGATTGAAGTCATTAGCTTTCCAACAGACTGAACATTCTTTGCCCACTTGGGGGGTGGGTGTGTGTGTTTAAGTCCCCCCCAGACTCGTCTATGCTTACAACTCGCTCAGCTTAATGAGCTGGGTCTGCTTATCACGAGATGGTGTACCTGACCGTTTCTGATCAGAAGTCGAAAGCCTTGAAACCTCCTAATGCGCTGGTACTTCTTGAAAAGTTCATGTTCCTCAACATGAGAGATGCCTCCGTATTGGCTATGTGGTGCTTGGTTAGTGGTACATTATCCACAGTTATATCCACAATTGTTGTCAACATTTTTTTCAGTGATGGCAGTTGAAGGTCTTGTTTTGGACCATCCTCGAGTCTTCAAGGATCTGTCTTTTTATCGTGAACTCTTAACATCTCTCAACAGAGGCAAGGAAAACATATGATCCCCTGAAGTTGACATAATGACGGCTGTTGGAGTTGGAGACATTTGATGACTGAGCGGGGGCAACGTTTTTCACTTCTACAAACAAAGAATACCTCATAGGCGGAGCCAGAATTTTTTTAAAGGGGGGGGCTGTCGGGGGGTTCGAACCCCCTGAACCCCACCTTGGCTCCGCCATTGCAAAACAGTAACTTCAATGTGGTCTTTAGTCATTTTCGGGACCCCCACCCCTCTGGATCCGCCTCTGGATCCGCCACTGTACCTAGTTACTCTGACTGCAGAAGTATGCTGCCAGGTTATGTGCTCGGTTCAGTTGTTGCCTATACACATGAAAAGGTATTGTACGTATTACACACAATGTGTTAAGTCTGTGCAACACTCCCTTCGTACTAAGGCTTGGAACGTTTCATCCACATCCCTTGTCAACCCTTTGAATTACATTTGAAGATACACATAACGGAGAGGATATACGTAGGTCACTTTCTTTATTTTCTAAGTTTCAGAGCACATGTTTACTCCTTCGCCTGATGAAGAAATATGTATGTATACTGCGAAACGTTGTGTTCCTGACAACTTCTTTTTTTCCTCCGTACGTAACACAAACACATTTAGCATGATAAACACACCGATTGTTTAAATGTAAACGTGAGTTCACCGGGAATCAATATTTAAGCAGGTGATACGGACCTGACAGAGATAGTCATGGAGATGCACGCTTGCTAATAAAAATCTTTACAATCACTAACCTGGTTGACGTCACCCACACAACACCACAGGTGTTGCTAAATCAGTGTGTGTTGTTTAACGCCGAACTCAGCAATATTCTGTGACGGCGGCCCGTCTCGAACAGATAAACCAGTGACTGTTATTGCCAGCAGCGTCCCACGTGGTCCCCACCAAGACAGTGCAGAGGCGGATACAGAGAGGGGGTGGGTGTGTGTTGCGGGCGTCCGCATGAGGAGCATTTCCCTCTAACATGTGGACTAACACCTCAAAACTCCTGCAGTAAGTGAATGAGTGAGTGAGTTTAGTTTTACGCCACACTGAGCAATATTCCAGCTATATTGAGGCGGTCTGTAATTAATCGAGTCTGGATCAGACAATCCAGTGAGTAACAGCATGAGCATCGACCTATGCCACTGGGATACGATGACATGTGTCAATCCAGTCAGCGAGCCTGACCACCCGATCCCGTTATTCGCCTCTTACGACAAGCATGGGTTACTGAAGATCAATTCTAACCTGGATCCAACCAAGGCAGACAACCAATCAACTGACAAACCTACCTTTTTTTGTCGCATCTCATGACAAAAATGGGTTATTGTATTGTAATCTGGCATCGTCACTCGTTTATTAATTATCAGTTCAGCAAATATCTTGACGACACTATCACGTATTTTCGCAAGTCAATGCTCTGAAAAATACAACGAAATTATGAAAACCATGAATTACTGTGACAAACCGATACACAATATAAAGTAGCATCACTTAACATTTATAATAAGGCACGAACACAACAAATACATCTTCCTACTAAAACTAATCTTCCAATAAATGATTAAACTCACAGGTGACAACAGGTAAGGAACTTACTAAAACTAATGTTTCTATCTTTATCCTTTTCGCGCCCACACAACATTCCTGCATGGCCATATCTACCAGCGGACGATTGGTAAAAAATATTTATGTCGGCATATATTTATAGCACTTTATTTCAGTATATCCAACGGCATTTATGTAAACGCGTATCACCAAAAAAAGCCTTCATGACAGTTTAGTTATTGCAATGACATGAATCATTAGCGCATTTTAAATATAAGGCGTTGCTATGTGACGGTGTCCAGCGCTCGGGTGTATCACGGAGATAGTTTCGACCAGCCAACGTTTACTGTACCTGCAGAATGCGATCATATTAAATGACTATTTCTGGGAAACAGATGGCAAGCTATCAAATGGTCAGAGTTCTGTAACGCGTGTATATTACAGACCAAACGACCCGATTATTCAATAGCAATATTCCAGCTTTAGGGCCGACCTGTAAATAATTAAGTCTTGATCAAATAAACGAGTTAGTGACATTATGACACACAATCAACCGACTCACTGAGCCAAACCACGCAGTTCATCCAGTGGATTACACAAGTATGGGTAACCCGTGAAGATCCGGGTTAGCATTGGTCTTCAGCAACCCATGCTTGTTGTCAGAGGTGACTAACGGGATCGGGTGGTCAGGCTCGCTGACTTGGTTGACATATGTCATCGCATCCCTATTCCTCGTGATGCCAATGAATTGATTGTCTGGTCCAGACTCGATTACTTACATTACCTACAGTTCGCCGTGATATGGCTAAAAATCGTTGAATGCTGCGTTGAACAACGAACAAATCAGGTATGGGTAGCAAGGAATCTATGCTTACTTACAATCTAAAAAAGCCCCTTAAAGTTAGTAAAGTTTTACTTTAATTTCACTGAAAGAAATCTTTACGTTACTACAATAACGAAATGTATGAAAAATATGAATAGGTGTAAGAGGAAATAGACTTCTAATCCAGATGGATTTCAATAACCTGATAACCGAGCTCGTTGATAGAGAATAAACTTACTATTTAATCACTTTGTACTAAATATTTATGTAACCCTAAAGGTCGTTTTCTTGTGCACATATAGATTTTAGGAAAGTCTTTGACTACGTTTATAGAGAAAAATTGTCATTTTAGCATCTTATGAAGGGTTTTCATGGCCAATATTTTAACATTCTCAAAAGTAAGCATGCAGTTGAAATGATACTCCTTGTCAATCAAGCAGATTCCTATTGGCCTCCTTCAGTGACATTAAGAGTGAGTGAGTGAGTTGGGTTTTACACCGCTTTTAGCAATATTCCAGCAATATCATGGAGCGGGACACCTGAAATGGGCTTCACACATTGTACTCATGTGGGGAATCGAACCCGGGCCTTCAGCCTGACGAGCAAACGCTTTAACCACTAGGCTACCCCACTGTCCACTGGCATTAAGAAGCTGGTGTGACAAAGATGAACAAGTTTTAAGTGTGTTAGCATCTACACTGGTACTTCGCACCTAATTCGCAGTCTAATTAAAATAAGATTTTTATCTCTAGGACGTCCTATCACAGCTAGGTCCCTCAGAAAAAACATTTCGCAAACTGATTTCAATCAATGAAATGACTTACACCAAAGACTATGTATGGTTTCTGATTAAAAGAAATGAACCTCAGCCAGTCAGAAAAGATTGAAATGTCTCTTATGTTTGAAATGTTTATCCCAATGAAGCGAAACATAGGTGATGATGTTGACAGTATCTTTCATTATTAAGAATACCGGGTCAACCTTTACATGATAAAAAACACATTCGGACTGTCTAATAGGTCAGGTGAAAGGCTGTCCTCAAGTGACCCCCAATTGCTTGTCTTCAAATCTTTGTTTACTGGTAGACATAATGAAATTGAAAGATTCAAACACATGATTATAGGTTCCTGGGTTGCCAAAGGTACATTACTCTGTACAGCAACACGCATTGCCATAAACAAGTGCTGGTAAACTGATGTTTGGTCCACATGGTAAAAGCTACTGGTAGTATCATCTCTGTACTGCTACACTTTAAACCTGCAGACACAGATCACACACCATCGATATCACTCAGGTTGATTTATTGTCATAGTAAATGTATGTCAGTCAACAAATATCAACAACTCATATACAAAATACATGATATACAAAGCACACAGAGGGACGGCATGATTCCATTCACGGCAGCAACACCTTTGAAGGCGAGGATTGTTACATATAATATCATTGACAACATTTATCTATAGTTAACAAAATCATATATTTTTAGTACTAAAAACAAAATCAATCTTTCAAAGAAAATCATGCTGAGATTCAAGTTCAAATGAAGGGCACACGGTTAAACAATGCCTCAACTTATCTATGACAAATTACAATTTATTAATCTATTATGATTTTAATAAATTAGTGTGATAAGCACAAACATACTCATTTTTACACTTCAAAGATAGAAAAAGTATAAACTAAGTGGCTGCGAACCATTTCAACAAACAGTTCAAACCAGTCCCAACTTCTGATCTTAAAAACAAGTACATACGATACTTAGTTCAAAACAAGCTGTTGATGTGCACTTATGTTACTAACCTACTAACCTATATGTGCTACAGCACAGCAACTGTAGGTATGTGTGTATAGGAAATATGGCCTCGGTTTATATAGTGAATTATTTTACACCTAACACTTATGTACAACCTGACTCCAAATGTCTTCAAACTCAGGTATCATGAAATCACTCCAACAAAAGAACTAGTTAGTGAATCTAACAGCAATAAGTAAACAATGATTATGATGTCATAATATATTCACGAATGATAAATAACTATATCACATCCTTATATACGATGAAGGCATTGCATATATGAAACAAAATATTGATTACATACATCATGGAATGTACGATGTGAACAACAATGTCTAAAAAATAGAAGCATCAGTGACATTTTGTACACAACTTCCCATAACATTTCATAATTAATCTGGATGTTTTGATAATGTGAGGATATTTAGGACGGACATTTCCATGTTTAAATGTGACCATAGCAGTGTTAAAAAATTTAGAAAACGGTAAATGTGTGACCATGAATTAGTGCATAACTTAACTTGATGAATTATATACAAGAAACAATTTATACACCACTTCGATTATTGCTTTTTCTCAAAATGAACCATGAATGATCCACTTGAAAACATCAACAGCTTTTAATATTAACCTAAATACTTCCACATAATGCTATTTCCTTGAATTGAAAATATTAGGAAATACTCAATAACTTATTCTCCCCATATATATCCATCCAATTGGTATTTTGTACATTCTACAAATGAAAATATTAAACTGAAAAAATATAGCTAGAAGCCCAGTAGAGGATAAATAGAAGAGTGATTTCCCCTGCCACTAGGATGGAACAATAAAACTGTTGTTGTAGGGTCACATTGTGCTGACACTGCAATATTTACTGTAAGTACATTGATATTGGACGGCTTGTAAGTAAATTAATATAAAAATTAGTGTGCATGAGATTCATCCCATCACGACACATAAGATTATGTTCGCGTGACTGAAAAAGGCACCAATAAAGTTTTGCTATCACATGTGTATTAAAATATCCTGAAAAAAGTAGATAATCATTCCACAACACAAAATCATAAAACATTCATTGTCAGTATTCAAGAAGACCAAAAAAAGTAAGGCTGTCTCTCAATTCTTGATAATTTTGGACACAACAGATTTGAAATGTTATACTTTTAATGAAAAAGTAACAATGACTGAAAAGTAACCCATGTATCACAAGTGATCATTACTTGATACTAAGACAAAGTTTCATATTGGAATATTTCATACCATCAACAAAAACTACAGCACAATCCACTACTACATTGATATTTGTGCCGCCATCTCACTAAGCAGTGATCTTTATCACATAATCAGCTGTTCATGTGTATTTCACCATGAAATCAACGAGACTCATATATGCTATGGTATTCATAACTAATCATGCCATCAGATTGTATTATGATATAAACTTCACTAAGTATCACAGTCAAGTTAACATAAGCACTGAAACATTTAATTACCAACATCTACAATCAAGATCTTCATCAATATTTATCCATAACAGTAAAATTGGTCCTCTGATCCATGAATGTCTACTAAACAAACTATCAATATTTACCATATGCAGGCATCTGTCATATATGTTCTGGTTTTAAAAAATCAACTGATCTTGCATATCTGACATAAGTTTTCATGGCTACCTAAAGGGATAACAATTAATATTGGATATTTTATCTGGGGTACAGACCAAGGGACTAGTTACACAAAAGGACGATCTGGCTTTCAAATCCTGGAATTCTACCGACCTTAAATATATAACAAAGCAGATGTCTACATACAGACATTTGTTAGTTTTTCACAACCTCTCTGGTCAATGTGACACCTATCATGTAAATTAACTGGTATGCATGTTAGTCATTTGTATTGCCATGTGATCATGGGTTTACATGGAATTTGTAAAAGTCACATTATGAATTACGTTTGATTTAGAAACATAACAAAAACTGTTTCACAGGATACAACCCATTAACAGATCACTGGACAGCTCCTTGATTAGAAGTGTGTTAGTCATGCCCGAGGTGATATGTTGGAAATGGAAAAATAATATATATCACTCTTGTGGTCACAGTTAACAGGTACGATTTGCTCCAAACAAACAAAAGACTTGCACAGGGTTAGGCGAAACATCAGTTCCTTACAGATGTCCCCATATATGATATACCAGACTGTTACCCTCCATGTACATATGTACAGTGTCCCCACTCTAACCTGGGTCAGTCATCACACTATCATACGTTGTGGCTGTACGAGTCATCAGCAACATCTTCCTCAATGAAGTCTCCCTCCTCATCTTCTGGGCTACGGAAGCCATTCATCTTGTCAGGATTAATGGTCCGTGACAGTGGAACATCGAGTGCTCGATGAATTGCCTCTATTGTTCTTGTGTTAACATAGTATGCGGGGTTACCTCCCTTTAATCTACTTCGCAATTCTTCAAGACTTGAGTATGCCTGAAAAATAGAATTACTAATGTAAGAATTGAAACTTTGGCGTTTCCTTTGTCTTTCAAAATACACTTACACACATAAAAATAACACAAATACAGTTACACAAGGTCAAAAACTTGTTTCCACCTTGCTAAACAAAAGACTATAATTATGTGTTGTAACAATGAGAAATTCAATAACTGACTTCTGCTGAGCAACTAAGAATCGGACCATACATGAAGTGAAGTGTTTGTCTCTTTGATGCTTTATACCACAATAAGCACTATTCAATCTATGTCAACTTGAAAATAAACCAGTCACTGAAAGCTTAGGCAATGATCCATACAATCTGCAAATCACCTTATCTGGCCATCCAATCCTCTTAATGTTTCAACAATTGAGATACCGAAGACCTTTACTTCTAACAAATCAAGTCAGAAGTGGTGAAGTGATGTGAATTCAGGTCTAACGTTGCTAACAAGATTATTGCGATTCGACAGAACTATTACACACCACTCAGACACAGTACACAGACTCAAATAAAGGTTGGTCCTTCATTTATTCCCTTAAGCTGAATGTTAGGTGGGGTAACTGGTACAATGTTTTAACATCTTTTGATATGACACAGCCAGGGCTCAAATCACCAGCTTTCCACTCTCTGAAAAATCACTCAATCCATTTGACCAGGGACCTTTTCGAACCCCATTGCTCGCCCTACCATCCGCTTGGGCGAAAAGGGAGAGAATGACAAGTAAGGCAGGTCACATGACTGGTTTGAGCGGGAAAGGGCAAAGGGAGGTAACTCGTGGGTGAGTGTATTTATACGTCCGCTTTGGGAACTTCAAGGGATTCAAGTGTTCCACTACCATTCGAAAGGGAAAGGGAGATAAGCAAAAGATCATGAGTCAGGATAAGGAAAAATTACATAAATGACTGCATGCTATACTAACCGCCTTCCATCTCTCTCTCCGGGCATAGTGTTCAATCATGAAGCCGAGGACATCCCCAACACGGACCCCACTGTCGAGATCCGTCTCTTCCAGCAACACCTGGCACTGTTTCATGGCTTCTTCAGAGTTCTCCTCGTACACCCTGGCAACCAGAAAACACATTACTCACCCTGTGTTGAGAAAACAATTTAAGACCCTCCTAAAAGCCTATGGTGCAGACGTATGGCAGCAGCCTGGATTGGAACTCTTTGTACAAAAAAACATTTCACAAATTCTATTAGACAATTAGTATCCCAACCTTGTATAGGCTGATGATATTCTACATGTAGTTGAACATTGAAAAGTACTTCACTTTTGTTGATGTTATCATTATCAGTATTCCATACTTATACCAAGCACATTCTTATACATGCTTTCTGACATTTTAGAGTCTGATGCCATTTTTAACAGTGCTGTATCTTCACTGGGATGTAAAGCTGCAAGTGATTTGGGTCATAATACATTTAGAACAAAATGCTGACAGATGATTATAATGATCAGTGGAACTGAGATCGGAAACCTGAGTGGCCGATCCGGGCGACTAAGGGACATAGTCTGCATAGTAAGTTATATAACTCAGCTAAAAACACACAATCTACCAGATGTACAGATATTTGTGATGAAGTAAGCCCTGACATGTGTTTACACAGCAGCACATGTCAGCAAACTGACCTCCGAGCTTGCACAAACTTCTTGATAAGTGTGATCTTGTGTTTGAGGTGAGCCATTTTCTCCTCCTGCAAAGTCTCATCCTCCACCTTGGCTTTACTCATGCACTTGTAGGCCTCCCCTAGAGCCCCCAGAGCCTTGTCGTAGTTCTGATACTCATCAATCTCCACCTTGACACACACGGAATCACTTACAACAATACACATCTCCAAATGTCACACTTGGACACATCAGTCCATATGTAAGTTTGACCATAATCACAACAGGATTGCATCTAAGTAAACACAAGAACAAAGGGACAATATTGCAGTACAGTCTTATCCTTACAGGGGCTATGTATAATCATGATTTCTGCGCTAAGCAAGCAGAGAGATCACTTATGACAACAGTTCCCAAAGATTCTCTTATTAATGAATGCAAACACACAGTCCTTTTCTATTATCCATCACACTGCTGTCTTGAGGAGGTATAATACAATGAAGACTGTCATGTTTATAACATATCGGACTTAACACCAAGAACAAGACGACGAAACATTTATATCCCTAACCCTTTTAAATATAAGCATTAAATACAAAGGTATGTCACAGGCCTCATTACATACACTTCTGATTTGAGAGAGTGTACATTAGCATGTAGCAAACTTTTACTGCAATTTTCACCTACATACACAAACTAAATGCAACCAACAAGATAATTTTTCAGAAAGAAGTATGTATTGTCAGTTATACCTGAGCACATGCATCGTAGAATCCTGCCAACAGGTGGAGTGCCCGGCCCTTCGTGTAAAATCCTATGATACTCTTCATGATCTCGGGATCCTTCCTCCAGTCAAGAGACTGAAGATAGTTAGCTGCCATCACATAGATTTCCCGCTGACGGGACACACCAGCAAAGAACACAATCTTCTCAGTGTCACCGGACTTCAACAGTGCTTTCATAGCCTGAACACAACAAAGAGCACTTACAACAACATTTACATAACCATGGTACAGCTGCTTCTTGTCTCAGATATTTTGCCCGAAATTCATTAAAAATCTTCAACTAGTGGTAGAGTGTATGAAAGGCACGCTAGCATTGCAGATGTGTTTTTACACAGTTTCTTATCTGCACTGAAACATTAGCCAAACATTCTTTCTCTTCTGTTCTACCTTACCTCACATCAAGATAGACTTTGTAATTTCTTTACTAATGACAGACTACCTGGTGATCTATTGACAAGTAATTACAGTTCCAATAAATAAATAAAAATCATGCACTGAAGAACATCAAATGTGGGGTTTCATAATGATTTCTACGAGATCTTTCATGCCCAAGTGAAACTGGATCATAATAAAATAAGCCTGAATTCTACAATCTCACACCCAATCAATCTGTGAGGACACCCTCTGTCATACCTTCATCTTGTTGCCAGCCTGGGTGAACTTCTTGGTGGCTATGTGGTACTGTCCCTGGTGCATGCACACGTCAGCAATACCTTCTAGGATCTTCAGTCGGTCCATCGTGTCGTTCTCACCCTCGATTTTCTCTGGTGTCAGTTTATCTGCCAGATCCTCGGTAATCTCCACATGTCGCTCCATACAGATCTTCAGAGCATCGATGTACTGCAGCAATAATCACAGAGTACTGAGCATACAATACAACAATCGATTTCTAATCCTGGTGATATCTAAGAACCGAAAGAATACAGGTTGAAAATAGGACAAACAATATATGCATGCAGATGTTGCTATACCTACCTTCTTCCCTATAGCCAAAAGGTCCACAGCCTTATCATACTGCCCGTTCTCCAGGAAGAAGTCCGCACACTGCTGAAGCAGCTCAGGGTCAGCTCTCTCATCAAGATCACCGGATATCAACTGTAAAGCCCCAAACTGCTTCGTCTTGAAGGCAAGATCCAGAGCCTTAGAAAAGTTGCCAGCCTGAAACAGATATTAAGATGTCATGAAGTGATTGTTCCAGACCCAATAAGTAATCTACACACTTGTTCATATGTGCATTATTACAGTACATAAATCTATGACAACAGATCATCCAATTGCACACTCTTATAACGTAATTGAAAACACAGAAACAGATCCAAGTCTCACCTTGTGATACAGCATGACAGCCTTGTCATTGTAGCGTGGGTGTTGTTCGTAGTAGCGAGCGGCCTCCATCATGTCCTCCGGTCGACCCAGCAGGGCCAGGTTCAGCAGTTGCTCCTCCTGACCATGCTCCTGACAAACAAACAGTACTTGTCCATGAAGTCCATACAGTAGAGTCTTCACATGGACATTTCTAGACACTCCATGACATCATGAACAATAACACTGCAAAACACTGATGGGTGATTACAGATGATCAGTAATTCTGATTTTGATCTACCCAATTCTCTGGTCTACAGTCAAAGTAGTGAGTGAGTTCAAATACAAAAGTTTCATCATCTGCAGTATTTCAGGCGTACAGAGACAAGACCAAGTTACACATTAATAATACACAGACTGAGACTACGTACAACATGTCCAGGGCTCGATTTAGTGCTTTGTTACTTGCACTGATGCTAGCCAATATTACAAAGTGCAACGTAGTTATTATTCTAACATGCACCAGGTGCAGGTCAATTTTTGAGTGGGTAAACTTCTGAATAAAACATCTAATAACTCAATAGCATATTTCTTTCATTACATTTCTTTCATCTCACCATAAAATCAGTGCAACTGGAATTTGGCAGGTGCAACTAGGTTTTATCTTAGGTTGCACCTGGTGCAAGTAGGTTGACATCTCTTAATTCGAGCCCTGATGTCTAAGCAGTGGAACAGTGGGCAGTTAAACAACCAGATTATCACTGGTTTGAATACATAACTTGTTGGCGACTTCACTGCTTGCAGAGCATTGAGATGGATTCAAATCTTTCCTTGCACATCAGATAATCAGAGGTACAAATCGTAGCACTAACATCTCTTTTTGGAAGCGGCTAGAATACATATTACTTTTATCATGAACTTATAAACCAAACTGAGCATAATTCCTGCCCTGTTGAAACACAAGTCATGCAAATATTAGCACATCAGAATCTCTGCTCACCTTACACAAGCGGATAGCACTACCAAAGGCCTGTGACCTGGTAAAGAAGTGGATGGCCTCTTTGATCTGGTCCTGGTTTTCATACTGACGAGCCAGATAGTAGCAGGCTGCCTTGTCTCCGGTCTCGTTACACACCTCTGCTGCCTATAACCACACAACATTCAGCTGTACAGCAGTTAAATATCGTCTAAGTTTTGGTTTCCTTTAAACAGAACACAATGAAACACAGTTGCCTCTAATGTGGATATGAAACAGTAAGAAATGACAGCTAAGACTCAATTCATGTCCTCTACATAAAGTAGCTAAACATGGTACATCTGTTTCATGGTGTTCTGTATAACAGCCAGTAAGTCCCATATCTATATGTTGTATGACTGACCTTGTCAATCTGTCCGCAGAAGCAGTAGACTCGGACAAGGGAGAAGAAGTCCTGGGCCTCCTCGTAGAACTGTAATGCCACATCCATTTCTGCATTGCTCTCCATAAACTGGGCCCACCATTTACGCAGGGACCTTGTAAAGAAAGCAAACACCTCAGGCATCGCTAATAATTAGTCTTCAATATGACAAAGTTCTACATCATGACAGTTTTAAACCTATATTTTTCACTATACTAAGTTAATAAATTTCATGAAAGTACATGAAAGAACCAACCAACTGGAGACATTTTCAAGAATTTTCATGATCTTTAAAACATTTTAGAGGACATTCTGTAATATCCAACATAATTAATGACAAGCTTACTTGTCTTTGCTCCTCTGGATGTACTGTTCCAGGGTTTCAGGGTCTTCATACAGCATCCTCGGTACCTCAAACCTGTGTGTCTCGGACTTCTCAAAGCTGAAAAGAAACACGAAAATGAGCAAATTCTCATAATGAAATTGGGTGAGTTTAAAAACAAGTTTGGAATAAAACATCCCATGCAATCACACTATAACCAGGTACTACCTCTGTAGACAACAATTTAATAACAATGGCCTTGATACAAAGAAGAACATACTAATATAGCTAAAACAGACTCAGATTGAAGCAAAATACTCTGAACGTAACACATATAGGTTAGTCAGTCGGATTGTACTGCACATTAGACTTGGCTTACTCATGTTAACATAGATGTAGGTGTTCCCTATAATGTGTATGGTGCTGCCCATGATGTTAGTGCAAGTCAGGGTGAAACTGGTATTTATACCAGCATGCATAATCAAACAATCAGTGAGAGGCCAATTTATCTATTATTCTCACTTTGGAATGGCTGCTGATGTGTTTCCATTCTCCTCCAGATGCCGAGCATAGTTGTAGTATGTGGTCCTGAGGTGGATTCTGTCATACATCTCGGCCGTCTCCAGGGCCTTTCCCCACTGCCCACCACTCTGGTAGAACTCATTCAGCAGATCGTAACGCTTACAGTTCTTCAGTAACCTCTCTGCATCTTCCTTCAAAACCAAAACAGGAAACACTAAAAAAACTGCATAATATTTCAGTTCGACTTTTCCCTCCTTATTCTTGTGTTGGTATTCTTTTTCAGTGGCCCTGAATAATGAGCCATACATCGCTTGCTGCCAAGCCACTAAAGTGTGGTTAAGAGTAACTCTTAAGATAAATTCCTGATACATAGGCTGGAAACGATGTGAACTGAATCTATATATCAGATCTCTTGTCAGTACTTCACAGGTTTGTACGACCAACACAATGATGAAATCTACAGATTCCAGACTGTAATTTCCATCCCAGTACTTACAAACAATCCTAGTTGTATGGCTAATGTGGCCACCCTGGCATCTAGTTCAGCTTCTCTATGTGCTTCCCGCAGTGCCTTGGCTCCACGTGCATGGCCCATGTTACCCAGACACACGTACGCCACATCCAGCCGTCGACTCTTCACACACATCTTGGCCATGTTCTCCCACACTGACTCACTGCCAAGCAAATCACACAGATCAATAAATATTCAATCAAATGCTGTAAGTTTAAGATCCTAAACAGATGAGAAATAGCCTTCACCTGTAATTAAAAAGAAAGACAAGCATATCTAATGAACAAATTAACAGCAAAATGAAACATCCATATCTCATTAAAGATGACACAATAAGACTTAAAACATTGTACGAACCATACAGTTTTTCACAAGAAACTGGCTGTAAGTGCCATAATCCACATTCTACAACATTATGAGGACAAGAACCGAGTTACTACAACAAAACAGTAAGTATCTCTACATACCTCCTGATAAGCTTGATGGCTTTAAATGCCTCATCCATGTTGCCTATTGTAAGATAGTAGCTGAAATTCATCATGGCGTCTCTCGTGCCTTTGTCACTGTTCTCCAGCCCCACAAAATCACGCAGAACTTTCCTGAACACCAGTTTGGGGTAGATGGCAGTCCCAGTCTCTGGGTTGATCACATGACCTTCCTGCTGACTGGCAAGCTCGGACGATGTGTTCTCCGGCTGAAACGGTCAGTGAGTAAAGGAATGTTAAGACATCCGAGGAAGACTACAATGCCAATAAGGGAGGAGTGAGGGTGGAGGTCTTGCAGCATCATTATCATGACCACCTGTTTATTTGTATGAAACTAAACGTCATACTCAGCAATTTTCTAGTTATACTGTCCTGTAAATACATGAGTGATGAAGGGACGAGTCAGTGAATGATATTATGAAGAAGGTCAGGTACCTCGACACATTACAATCCAAGTTATTGACACTGAGCACCTGATTCATGTGTTGTCTTGTACAACAAGCAGAGGTTGCCATGGTTGCTGGAGACCCTTTCTATGCCAGAATCTCCACTGGCGGTCATGAATGTGGTACCATACACATACCCTATCAATGTATGAAACAAACACTAGTCATTTGCACTGTGAGTCCACTGTACAGCCTCAAAGGGCTGATATATTAACACTGACTTTCATTCATCTATTCTCCAACAAAACATACTTGAAATGACCTACCCTCTTGATGAAATAGTGATATGGAACTTCCACCCCCATGAGAGCAGTGACTTGTGGGGGGAGACTGAAGCTGTCTTGAATGAGGACACCATTCTCTGGTGTGCAGAAGAGAGACACCACCATGAGTTCCACCTAAAAACACCAGTAACACATTACTGTATGCAAGCTGGAGAGCTGCAAACGACTGACATCTTTACTGTAATCAGTACAAAAAACGTAACTCACATTAATGTTTCTCTAACAGCTTTTAAAGAAATTAATTATAATGCAGGGCCCCACTCCATGAAGCATTCTTAACACTACGACAATCATAACTCTGCTACGTAAGACTAAATTATGACAATCCTGGGATAGATCTAGGCTCCCAAAACAAAGAGCTCTTAGTAGGCATTTTTGGGAAAAGTAATTACTTCAACTTTGAATTAAATTCAACAGCGTAACACTTAGCATAACAACCTCTTCTTCAGATCAGCTAGTGAAACACAAGTCAACAAAGCCATAAGATTAGTTATAACTGTAACATGCACTGGAACAGTTTTTCATTCCTGCCATCCTGGAGCCAAGTACCAGGATCTGAGTAGGTCTAATTACATCCCAGGACTACCAGCAATCATAGGGACCTACTTAATGGAATAGGGCCCTTATTAATACATAGATATATATACAGTATTTACCGGGCCATCTTCAACAGCTTTAGAGAGAGATGGCTTCCTCTTGATCTCCCTGCTCTTCTCCTGCTCGACCGCCATGGCCTCACACACCAGCAGCTTGGGCTCATGGGGATCCCAGTAGTGAGATGTCGAGTGCGTAAGCCCAGCGATGTCCTTCATGGCCTGGTTCTTACCCCTACAGGAATCAACAAATTGTTAGTAGCTGGAAATTTCACACAATGACTGTTCTACACAGACACAATTTTTAAACACCTGTCATTTAATACCAAACTTCGACAAAGAAATGGTTTGCACCTTACCTTTCTGCATCATTGGTATCGGATTCATTCTCCTCCTCTGCACCGTCAGGAGGGGGGTAGTCATCCTGCTCCCCACGTCCTGTCTGGAAGTTGAAGTACTGCACACTGTCTGTCTCTACATCCCAGATGTACAACTTGCTGTCAAAGGTGTTATTCTGCAGCTTCACCATCACACTCACTCTGTTGCCGGAACAGTTGCACCGGGCTGAGAGAATGGTGCCGAAGTCATGGACAGAATCAGCTATGTTCTTTGGATTACTGTGGGCTTTCGCTTCCCTGAAGTAGAGATCATTGTCACATGTATCATAACCATTAATATTACAGGCATTAAAATATACCAAAAGTGAGTGAGTGAGATTAGTTTTACGCCGCTTTTAGCAACATTCCAGCAATATCACGGCAGGAGACACCAGAAATGGGCTTCACACATTATACCCATGTGGGGAATCGAACAAGGGTCTTCAATGTGACGAGCCAAAGCATTAACCACTAGGCTACCCCACCGCCCCATATATACACCAAGAGGAACATATCCTACCAAATAATCCACAACTTTATGCATGATCATGATGATCTTAGGGTCATCAAAAGGTATTCAAAATGTTATCCTAATCAATAAACAAGGAAGTACTGTTAAATGTTGTTGATAGTACTTTCTATCTAAGACAGCAGGTCCGGTACCTACTATTCTGGTCTTACAGTATATCTATCCTACAGTTTCCAACAACCAGCATAAGGTACTACCATGTTTCAATCATATGAATTCTGGTGAAATCTCTCCTTTTTTAAATATTTGTCCTACTTATGACACAACCGACCTGCGAGAGAGGTCATAGACTCGGAGTGTTCCATGTTCTGTGGCTACAACCAGGAAGTTGCCACAGACATTGATGCAGCAGGGGTTGCCCTCCACTTCAGAAAATGTCATGTGCTGTTTGATTGTTCCCTGGAAACAAGAGTTGGAATATTGGTTAGCAAATATCCAGGATAAATAACAAAGGTTTATTACAGCAAACAGTTTGACCAATGCTATATAGATTTGTATCCAGTACTATTCACCATCACAGAATACTAAGAGGGGCTATAGGGCAAACAATCAACAACTGAACAAACAAAGACCTGATTCTAGTGAGAGGAGAGTAAGCATGTGCTCAGAACCAAAAAGTGCTAATATTTCATGTACAAATTTTCTCACTTACTTGCTACATGTGATATAGGGTTGTGACTCTCTGCTCTACATCTACATTAATCTGACTTAATGGTAGGGCTCCTGAAAGTTTATGTTAAGATTTGGCCATAACTTTACCTAGAGTAGAATCACCCAGGGGCGATAACTTCACTCTGTGTGACATATTAGAACTGTGTAATGGAAATGTGTTTCCTGATGATGTCTGAAATTTTCATTGAAAAATATCAAGCATTATTCAGGATGGATTCTTACATATGTACAGAAAGAAATCATTCTGATACCTGGAATGTTCTGACTTGCACTTTGTTTCCTTCAATTGTATACACATTTTGTTCATATAGGCAGACATTCTGTGCCTCTGTGGTGAACGAACCTGGAAACAAAGAGATTTGTTTTCATCTGAAGAAGGTTATAGATCAACTTCGAAGATTATGCTGAGAATTTATTCTAAGATGCAATGCAATGTTATTATTTTCTATATGCAGCATTATGTGTACTCATCACTTTTGAGCCGCCATATAGCTGGCATATTGCTGAGTGAGGCGTAAAACTAACTCACTCACTCATGAACACTCACTCACTCATGAACACAAAAACTTGGCTCAATCTCATGGATTTTACATGGATTTTGTCTGTCAAACGTAACATTGTAATGTATTTGATGACCAGTTGTAAAAGACTTTTACCTGCAGCCTTTAGGACTAGTTTGTCAGCTGAATATTCATAGATGATGACCCGTTTTCCATTCCATACAGCAAGGACATCCTAAAACAGAAATGTTATGAATATTGTACGCAGGCCTTCATACATACAACTAAATCATGTCCATTGTTATAAAGACAGAGTACAATCAAAAAGAAGGACCAAGATATTTTGGTCACCTTATATTCAAGCTGAAATAAAAGGAATATGTGTTTAAATCATACATATTTTCTTATGATAAAGCAACCAAATATCCACTATGAAAAAACACCATCTTTACCACAATCAAAACCCAACAAGAAGGAAGCCATGGCTGAGTGGGTTAGATGGCTGACTTTGTGTGCTGGCGATTAGGTGCCTTACTCTGAGGGGGAGGCATTAAATCCTGGATGGGACTCTACCCAACTAAAGTATTATAATCTGTACTTTACTGAGAAAGTGTAATCCCAAATATAACATATGTTACAGCCTCACCTTAGTTGTACAGACCCCCTTGACCTGGATGTCGGTCTTGAGGTCATGGTGGTTCCCAGTAGCGAACACCTCGATGGACAGTGAGCTGGGTCCGTACTGAACCACAGCTGTCTGGTCCTGGTAGCTGGAGCTCATCACCTGCTCACTGAGGACAAACACGTTGGCGATAGTGTTGATGGCCATCAGTGTCTTGTTGCTGCCCCACTGGAATGTGTCAAGACATGCAGGTCAGTCATCACAAAGTAGCATCAGCAACAATTGGGCATATATTTTAACTGCTAGTGAAACCATCAGGCTTGAATTCAGTTTTATTCCTTGGATTGTGAATGTCCTGTGAACAAGGTACATTCACTTCATCCTTTTCCGATTTTTTGTTACTCTAACTGATCAAAGAATTCCCTCAATATTTCACAATCAGTGCAGTGTTTGAAAATGTGTCTCACTGATCTTCAAATATAATGCACATGTATTTTTGATAAACACTTAACATTGTACAGTGGCAGAGCCAAGGTGGAGGTTCAGGGGTTAAAGACCACTGAAGTTAATGTTTTGCAATGGTAGACCAAGGTGGGGGGAGTTCAGGGTTCCCAACCTCGCCCCTTCGAAAATTTCTGGATCCACCTATGTTGAATTCAGAGGGTATAAAGGATAGCTTCTTTATCAGCAGATACATAACCAAACATTAATATCAACAGCGTGTTAAGAGAAACTGCTGGTGATTTGGCTTTTAAGACAAGACTCATCAGAAGATGACAAATGCCCCCAGCAACCACATATTTGAAAGAACAAATCATCTGGCAGTTACTAAAAGTCCAACTTGATTTTTTTAGACGAAGTCCAAATCCATTCTTGGAAGATGTATTTCTACAACCCTATACCTGTATCTGTCTGACTGGCCCCTCCACTGTTGCCGGTGCCTGCAGCTTCCACTTGTCCTCTCCCTCCACCTTACGGTTGTTGGTCGGATGAAATTTCCACAACGCCACATTCCCCATATTAGTGCCTCCAGCCAACATGCCTGACAACACAATCATGAGGCTGTCATCCAAGCTCACTAACTCACACACAAATAACTGCATCCAAGGTAAACCTACTGAGCATTTTGATTCAACATTAATCATAAATAAATCTTCTGGAGTCTTTTACTTCAGTAAATCACACATATCGGTCCATCTTGAAACACCCGTGAAGATCCAGATTAGAATTGGTCTTCAGCAACCCATGCTTGTCGTGAGAGGCAACTTACAGGATCGGTGGTCAGGATTGCTGACATGGTTGTAGCATGTAATTTTATCTCAGGTGTGTAGATCGATGCTCATGCTTGTGATCACTGGATTGTCTGATCCAGACTTCATTATTTACACACCGCCACCATACAGCTGGAATATTGCTGACTGCGGCATTAAACAACGAACAAACAGAACAAAAGTAGTCCATCCTGAATCACTAATTATTATTTAGAGTTTTATACTGCAGCATTTAACACAAGGTACATTCATTCTTACCTTTCTCAGCACAGTATGCTACACACATGATGGATTCATTGCTGTCGTAGCTGCTGTGACCGTCCAGACTCAACACATAGTTGTCATCCTGCTCCAGATCCCACATTCTGTTCAAAATAGTCGTACCAGCGTATCAAAATTTAATATCTCCACTCAAATACAACATGACTAAATGGTACATGAGAGAGCAAGTCAATAAGTGAATCTGGTGTGATTCATAAATATCAGTCTGTGGCAAACATGACATTTTCAGTTGAATTTGCTTTTGTTATTTATGGTGTCAGTATCCTAGCTGAATTAGTTGAAATTAGCTAAACTACTAAATGACTGTATGTTTCTGTAGGATGATTCCAACACTGTAATCCCATGAGCTACACTAACCTAATGGCCACTTCTCCAGTTGCCGTAGCCAACAAGCCTTTCCCTGCCCAGATGATGATCGGTTCCTCATTCCTCCCACTCAGCTTTACCTGAAACATGGGAGTCAACTTGTAAGTCAACAAAATCATATTATAAACCAATCTCTGAATTGTTTGTACAATTATTCAAAATCAATCTACAAAAAATACACTCTGAATAAACAATAACAGTCTTGGACATGATTAAGTCTCAGCAGCAGAGACTACCAAGAGAAGAAGTTCTACCTTGATCATTTCTTTGGTGTCTCCCTCAAGAAGGACAGCATGTTGTGTAAGCATCATGTTGTCTGTGATTGTGATGAGGATGTTCTTGTCATCGTAATACAGCATTTTCCTTACTGACGAGTCAACCGTGAAACACTGTATGCATTGTCCATTCTCATTCACATAGTAAACTCCACCTGTAGTAACATACCATAACCACAACAAATAACATGGACTGTGAACACAAGCACCCTAAAAATCACTATGATTCATTCATTCTTCTAGGTTAAGAGAAAAGCTTCATTCATTCACTGTTACTTTACATCCCATTAAATAGTCGATTTCATTTCTTGTCTTCAGAAATATTGAGTTAGTACATGTTTAAATTTCAGTAGTCTAGACAATATGGTTTATCAAATGGAACTAAGCTAAAGGCTGAAAAAGTAGGAACATTTATGTAAACCATGATTGTCTGGTCCAGACTCGATTATTTGCAGACCGCCACCATATGGCTAGAATATTGCTGGGTGGAGTGTAAACAAGTAACAAAACCAACAAAACCATCCTGAATCATTATTTAGAGTATTTTACTGACACACGAAACATGCAAACAGAACAGATTCAATTAACCAAGTTTGACTTGTAGACAAGACTCACCACTGGCTCCACCAACAAAGAAGGACAGTGATTCAGATGGGCCAAAGCTTGCTGTTGTCTTTGAATTACTCTTCCCTCGTTTCCAGTTAAACATGTCCAAGGCACTCTCGTCCCCACTGACAGCTGCTCGGGCCAAACTGGCAATGTCCCTGGAAACAGAAATATACTGAATTTCCAAACGTATTACAGATTACCACAAACATTATGAAATGATCAGTACACTGGTGAACATGTATGAATCTGCCAGGTATATTATTCACATTTTAGATGACTTGATCATGTGTATCACTTGCATCAGTCATTAATACTTCTAAATTTGAGTGCTGTGATCAATCTTGAAAATATCTGAAACCAACGATGCATGATACAGCCTAAAGGAAAAAGCATTTGACTAACGATGCTGGATCTGGGGGTGGAGCTGGTCTAGCTATGATGTGTGTGAGTGGCTCCTGGATGTGATGCTGGCAGAGAGGGTTGGGATTCAGGCGGCCTTTTGTATCCACTTTCCATACAATAAGGACTCCAGACTGGAACAAGAACAATTCATATGTCAAATATTAACTTTGGCTCAAGATTAAATGAGTGAGTTTAGTTTTGCCCCGCTTTCAGCAATATTCCAGCAATATCATGGTGGGGGACACCAGAAATGGACTTCATACATTGTACCCATGTGGGGAATCGAACCCAGTTCTTAGCATGACGAGCGAACACTTTATCCACTAGGCTAACCCACCGCCCACAAGATTAAATGAAGCAAACCAAGCTTATTATCTTCTTTAAATCAAAGGACAAGATTTAGTCTGAAATATTGCTTAATGATTTATTGAGAAGCTGTTTTAGATGAGGCATGGCAGTTTCATAATTATAGCCACCTTATCTCCTGATGCAATCCTGGTACCATTAGAGCTCCAATGCATGACACTGATGGGTGATTTATGCATCTGAACGCCTTCATGGAGACTACGCTCCTGTTCATTCCAGATGAGGAGTTCTCCCGTCTCCCATCCCACTGCCACTATCTTCTTGTTTGGATGCCAAGACACTGATGTCACGTGGCAGTTCTTTTGGAGATGTGTATTGGGCAACTTTTCTCCCTGAAAAGGAATGTTAACATGTTAAACATGTTGCATTGACATATATAGAGAATACTACACGAGTCTCATTACATACGAATTATACAAAACGAGTGTCCTTCTTATGGTATTAGACCGAGCGAAAGCGAGGTCAGATACCATAGGAAGGTCACTAGTTTCGTATAATTCGTATGTAATGAGACCGAGTGTGGTATTTTATTTATTACCCACGTCTTACATGCATTAAATTGACAAAATAGCATATTTTTTATATTTTTATGGTTTCAAACCGAAACCGGTTTATAAAGAGGTTGCGGAAGAGTTTTGTACTGTAGTACAATATTTGCATGACGTCACACTGTAATGACGTCACTGCCTTGGTAACCGACGTCACGATGCATGTCAGTTGTCATCGCCTCGTACAGCCTCCTACAGTAAACTACTCCGTAGCACCCGGTTTTTTGGTTTGCAGTTGCTTCATTCGGCTAACATCACTGGTGGAAACATTGTGTTTATGTTTTTCGACAGATATAATGTCTCAGTTCGACTCACAATTAAACAGCGACACGGCAATATTCTCAATGTTTACATTCCCACAATGCATTTAAGTTGTAGAATGAATGAATTCACGTGTTTGTTATGAATGAAAGAATAGTTACGTCAGAATGTGACCTAATTGAGAGGTCATCGGTTGTCCAATCAAATTGTTAGAATCTCAGGTCAAGTTGTTACGACACAGGTCAACGTTGTACGACACTCGTGTGACGTACGAGATTAGTATGCAACTACCCATACGTTGACCACTGGGTAATAAAATGTCATAACATATGGCATATCAAATTCTTACCCAGTGAACAGATCAATAATGACAGTAGAGGTCAATATTCTCCTTTAACTGGTCAGAGAGCATGAGAACAATGACAAATTTGTCTCTATGACAAGCCACAGATGCATGGCCAAGTGCTCAACACAACGTCTACAACTAACACATTATTTCTGTGCATCCTTTAGTCCTGTAGCCATGCCTGATTTGGAGTCCAAATCATACACTTGCTCTAAATGCCAGCACCATACCCACTTAGCAAATAACCTGAACCTAAATCACATCAGACTTACTTGCACCCCAATATTAATCAGCAAACATGCCTTGATGAAGCCAAACGCTGAAGCCTGCTGATTCATCATTATGATCACAACAGAGGAATGATCCTGTAACCATGGTAACAACCTCAAACATTACGCAGTTATGAATATGAACATTTTCAAACATGTATGGTGCTAAATATGAACGTAAAGTATGATTACCTCCTCAGTGTAAAATGTGACAGCTCCTCCATTGTCATCACTGTAGGATGTAACCGCTAACAGCGGAGTCCCACTGAACCATTTTAGATCTGTACTGATGCCGGCTTGGTCCGTCTCCAAACGGTGATCAAAGTAGACTGCCATGTCTCACTGCAAAACATCCATTAATATACTGGTAATGACAATAATACAAGACGAATCATGAATGACAGAGGTTTGGCAAATCATGAATGACAGAGGTTTGCTCTGTAAATCAACTACTCAACTAGTATTAGTAACAAATGTATCACGATATGTATCACTATCACTATATTCTGTACCACTAATACTGATGATGAAAATTTTGACTCACTTAAAACGTATGTGTCTGATGCCAAATCTATTGTGTTTTTGTATACTTTGGATATTTTGAAAGGAAATATCTACAAAATATACTTGATACATTTAAAAACCCTGTACACTGCCTGAACATCAATTAGGCCTGACACAAGATCAGTGTCATATCCATGTTATTTGACAACAGCAATGTTTTGACAAAATACCAAAAGGAAGGTTGAGCATGTACTGCATCATCATGATCAAGTGTATGTCTGGAATATATCATGTCTAGTAGGGCTGCAACGAATACACTATGTGGCGAATATGATACGTATCATGAATATTGGGTAACGAATACGAATAATTATTCACGAATACAATATTGTAGTTAAGTGTTTGATGTACAATATGGAACGCCCATGTTGACAGTTTTGATTGTCACAGCATTAACCAGTGATCTCATGACACTCAAATTTGGTATGTCATAGTTATAGTCAACAGTACCATGTGCGGCCTTGGAAGACTAACATCACTTGCGCTACTGCAATGCTAGTACATATTCAATCCTTGCATATCTCACTGTCCAAAAGTAGACAAGGGTTCAAGTAAAACATGCTCCCTTAAAAAATCATAAATATTCGTTATTATTCGGTTCTGGTGACCACGAATAACGAATTGAATTCATGAAGGGCTACGGTTCGATTCACCAAATATGCGAGTGACTCGTTACAGCCTTAATGTCTAGTTACTTAGTAGCATAATTAGCTTTATTAGAACATGTAAAGGTCCAAGTGAGAACCACGTAAACAAGGGGTTTAGAAGACTTATACTTTCAAAACATGAGCATTTTAAACAACATAACCATTGTTTAGAATTCATGCTCATTGTTTAGAATTCATGTTTTGTATAAAAATACTTCTGACTGTTGCTTACTGCTGTATATTTAAGCCATATCAGGGTAAATACTGACTCTGGAACATCCACATTATCAGGTGACTGATACCGATACAGTCACAGGTATGATAACATGTGAACAGGGCAATCATCCCGGTTACAGTGACTGACCACATAATCCATTGCCTCATAGTCTTACAACAAGCTCAGGTTACAGCAATAGAATTAACCTGGATTCGCAAAAGGCATGAAAGGGAAATCGACTAAGTGGATTTGTGTCTGGTTCTTGGTGTAAGCAAATATACACCATTTCTTGCAAGTAGAGGGGATGTGGGCTGGTGAGGAAAACTGATTGTTTCTGATACTGTTTCAGTCTCATACCTTTAATGCAACAAGATTGCCTTCAGGATGATGCTGTTACTGGGCAAACTTCACTTTGGAATGATAAAGTTAATGTCACATACTTACAGTAAATATAGGTGTACAACTAAAGATAAGATAAACTTTAATGTCCCGCAAGGGAAATTTGTTTTGCATTCAAAGAGCCAATACAAGCATATAACAACAAATAATTTAAAGTATATATACACAATGCCAAGCTAATCAGAATATAATGTTGAATTATAACATAATCAAAGTTCATGATATAATAATCACTCGTGCCTCATCATAGATTTCACTATTACAATTTTGAATGAAGATTTAGAAGTTTTATGCTGTATGGGACAAATGATTTTGAAGTTCTATTAGTTTTGTAATACATGATTTTGAAACGGCGGCCAGAAGGCAGAAGTTCATTTAAAAAGTGTGAAGGATCCAATTGAATGGCCAGAGCTTTCTTCTAAACTTTTGACTCATACTGAACAGGTAGAGGTTCGAAATTGAAGCCACAAATTTTGCTTGATATGTTTACAATTTTGTCAACCATTGGGTGCGGCGGGAAGAAGGAGTTCCGGAGAGAAACGGATGGCCTTCGGGTCATTCATGCCAGTAGAAGGCGAAGGGCAGTCCGGGAGCCTGTCTGCAATCCAAGCAAAAACTTCAGAGTGGGGGAGGTAAGTATCCCCATCGTCCCCGTCTCCTACCATCTCCTCATCATAGTCGGGTTAGAAGTAACGCTCCCCTGCATCCTCCTAAGTCACAGCAGGCGCGTCATGACGGAGATCGGAAGAGGAAGGCGTTGGGCGCTGGGAAACAGACGTCGTCTGGAGTCCAGTGTTGAAAGATGCTTCCAGGGAGCGACAGCGTGGGCGTTGCGGCGACCTTGAACGCGATTGTCTGTGGCCCCTCCCTGATGCCCAAGTGTGTGATCTGGAGTGTCTCTCCCTGTCATGCGACCGTCTGGGTGAACTCGTTCAATACAACGGCGACATTCCCGATTGCCCCCGGAAATTGAAGCAACTCTCTATTATCGTGGTATTGCTATTTTCTTACTATGGCACGCAGTACGAGCAAATGACACTGTCAAACGTTTATAAGACCAGTAACTAAAATAATTAATAGTTTCAATATTAAAAATGATTCAGGAATCTCATCAAAATTAGTAATATCATCATGTTCTTAACTAAAAACATCTGAAACTTCTATTCATTTGGATACAAGGTAACAATAACGTAAGAAAATTGTTTGCCGCCTTAAAACATACCATACAATTTGCTGCCGTGTGCAGGATGAAGTTGCACGATATGTTACTTCATGCAAATGACCTTATAGCTGTCGCAGGATTACGGTATATGACCGTCTATAAGCCGATTTTTGAGGACCAAAAAAAGCAATCTGTAGAAGGGGGTCGTCTTATCCATGGGTTACGCTTTCGTCAAACTTTTTTCCAGGGGTAAGAAAACAACATCGCATCACTTCCCGTGAACAAACAACAGAAGACGACTTTGTCAGTAGAGACGTCAAATTTGCAATTAAACATCACTAGACAAGATTATTTACCTTTTAAGTTCTAAGTTGTTTTTGCTGGGCATTGTATTATTTGCAGGGATTAAGATTACCGTGTGTATCTGAGCCGGAAATAGCAATCAGCTGTGCACACGTTTCCTGGCGATCAAGTTCAAATATGCACAATAATATAACGGGACGAATTCTGACACAGTCATCAGTAAAATATAATACAGAATACTATTATTTAACCCAAAGAAATATATCCTAGCATTGTGTAATTTTAATTACAGTTTTTGCTCTATAAATTAATTAAGATTAAGATTACCGTGTGTATTTGAGCCAGAAATAGCAATCAGCAGCTAACAAGTTCAAACATGCACAATAATATAACGGGACGAATTCTGACACAGTCGTCAGTAAAATATAATACAGAGTACTATTATTTAACCCAAAGAAATATAACCTAGCATTGTGTAATTTTAATTACAGTTTTTATGTAAAATATATATAATCAACACTAAGGTTATACGGACCCTCATGAACGTGGTAAGCAGAAGTTGTACGCACATGGAATGGGGTAAAATACGGAAGCCATTTAAATTCACACATTTTTACCGATGTTACTGTAAACTAGCAGTCAATGGAAAACGAGGCGGTAATCAGTTCATGATTGTTGAATGGGGTAAAATAAGCAAGCCAGTTTGTTGCTACAATAAATATGATATTTAGAGAAACAAAATATATTATGCATTTTCTGTCAACTACACTTCGTTTCGATCCGTGAGTAGACGCAATATATATGATTGTGAATTCTTTGAATAATGTGGACCAAAGTTATAATTATTGGTAACTGCCAGTTGTCTGTGGTCTGTGTTTGCCGCGATTAGGACCCCATCGCGGGGGATCGAGTTTATGCACTGAAACATACCATTTTGACACTGATTTTAAGGGTCAAGTTTGGGGGTCGTCTTATCCATGGGGTCGAGAGTCTTATAGACGGTCATATATGCTATTACCTGTAAATATACACAATAATGATCTGCTAAAGCAAATCTGGACACAGGGCACACCAAAGCGATTTGATCAATTCCAATCTTACAGACAATTCACACAAGTTGTACAACAGATCTTCGAGATGGCGAAATAAATGTGAATATATGTTTGGCAAGTGTTTGCAATCAACTAAAAAGATGTATGTATTCCTGTCTCAAAGGACTATTAGCAATGTTAAAAAGATGTATGTATTCCTGTCTCAAAGGACTATTAGCAATGTTGAACACGTTGAGCTCAATATTTGAAGTTCTATCATGAGTTGTTGACATTCACAACGACGCCAAACGATAGCGACACAGTCGTACCAAATACATGTACAAGGCTGATAAGTTGGCATATAGTCTTACATGTTATCCTCTTCATCCAAAACGCTTGTTGTGTTTTGATTTCATCTACTCTTTTAGGTTACCGTGGTTACTATGTTGCCATCCACATCAGTCACAGCACCTTGGCCGCCGACATGTTGAAAGTATGCAGGGCCCGGATGAGACGTCAATTGTACATACCTAACGGCGTACGTTCAATATGCAAATATCACATGTCAAGTGTATATTGTAACTACCAATAAAAGTGAAAAACCTTGCACTTAAAATATGTAAAATGTAGTGTAAATTATAATTGTTTCAAATGTAGTATTATAAGTTGACTTTTTAAAATATGTTACATAAATATATTCGAAGTGATAGTAAAGGTAAATAGTTATTTGGAAAATAGTACAATGCATTTTGATACTTATTCAGATCTACGGTGTCTTTTATCCTACAAACACCGGATACCGCGTTTCTTTTATACTCTTACTCATATCAATAAATGTGATTTAAGGAAGTAATGAAGGAAAAATACTTTAACCTCTGTTTACCATTTTACGGCCGTGTTAGTTTAATCGTGAAAGGGAGATTACTTCTCCCCACGCTTCCCTATAACTGTTATTGTGACTAGAATGCGCGGTCTCAGTGACGAATCAGTTGGTAAACCTCTGAAGACAGATACTCGGTCATGTCGCCTTTCAACCAGTTTATTTACAAAACAAAATCCAAGCAACCAAGAGAAATTTGTTCGAAGCCCAGACTCGATTGGCGCATCTTCTCTTTCTGTTAATTAAATATCTTCTACATTACCATTCTCTGATCTTCACTGATCATTATATACTATTTCACTCATTAATTAATACTTTTTTAACCTGGGAAGATCCGGGTTAGCATTTATCTTCAGCAACTCATACGTACTTGTCGTAAGAGGCGACTAACGGGATCGGGTGGTCAGGCTCTCTGACTTGGTTGACACATGTCGTATTTCAAGCAATCAGAGTGGAAACACGATCTCTATAAATAATCACATATTTTTCTCAGATAGGATAACTTTCTCAAGTATACATTACACAACGTATCAAAACAATTATTTTTTCTTATCCACCTTGTATCTATCAAATGCATTAAACGTCTGGAAACAGTGATATTTTTCAGTGTTTTGTTCCATTTGCAAATTTATGGTAATTTGAACCATCATTTACATACTAATATAACGGAACGGGGAGTGCTCCTTGTCTAACAGAACGTGTATATTTCAATGTCGCCCAACCAGGAACTAATACTTGCTGTGTATGTATGTGAATACAGTGCACAGTGTCATGTAGGGTCAACTCAGCCACGAAAACAACTACGTAAGGAGTTAAATGAACAATTTTCAAACATGTGGTACATGTTATCGAGATTGCATCAGTAAAACGGAATGTACATGTGCCTTTGCCACCGTGGACGTCAAAAGGTTGGTGTTGTATTATCGTATAACCTTATCTCGGTGCCTCTGGATTTACTATTAAAACACGAATAACTGAGTATGTTGGCTACTTGTTGAGGGGTCAGTGAAATGACCTTTGTTTGTGTTGATACAATCGTGTAATGCATGAGGCGTCCATGAACTTCGTGACAGGATGTCAACCTGACCTAGTTAAATATATATTTCCGTTAACATTGCACTGGTGAGTTGTCCATGTTGTTTGGATTGTGCATTGTACATTTGGGTTGTAGGCAAATATATATACTCTACACGATCAAAGATTGATGTATATTTTCAGGTTTGATTTTAATTTTTCATTTGTATACGGTGTATTTTGTAGTGATGGCTTCAAATGTTTCAACGGTGTAGTTCATTGAGTTATCGCCCTTAGCCTTGCTTATCCTCTGTTTGACTCCAGATTATCCCCGTTTATATGATCCCCTGTTTCATATGCGTGGTAATCGTATTCAACCTGCGTCACATTGGTATTTCTTCAGACACTAAGCTGAGACCTTATAAATTACTACCCATACATATATAGCGACACTGAACACTGATCTGTTTGATTGGCATTTTAGAAGTTGGCGAGTAATAAGAAAGTAAGATTCTTTATGGATAACAACTTCTTTATTATATATGATGCGAAGTTTCGGCATGGATTCTTATACTGTTGTCAAGAAGACCGAAGACCAGGGTTCGATTCCCACGTGGGTACACTGTGCGAAACCCATTTCCACTGCTGGACAGGCTAAAATTTATATTTCAGATGTCCCGGGAAGGCTTAAATGTATATTTCGTATTTCCCGGGACAGCTAATTTCCAAGGAAGTAGGGGAGTACCGCCAAAGCTAAAGATACGGTGCCGGGAAGCATAATCCATGTCGGGAGTAGATAGATTTCTTTTCATAACATTGTTATAGTGTTACCGTTATCTGTACACTGGTTAATAATATTTTTATAAATTGCACATTTCGATGAGTTGGACAGCTCACTAAAGATAAACTGAATAACCTGATCAGTTTTTCTTTGTTTCATAATCTAGAAGTAATTCCTGCCTTAACCATTTTTCACTTAATCCAGTGTTTGACAAAATATTTTTAACCTGATACGTACAATTTTGGACACCACAGGTCCTCATACAAATACTCATAACAACACCGAAAATGCTATTTTCAGACACAAGAAGCTTACACCAATATTTAATCATGCTATATTGCCTTTTAAATACGAGCGGATAACGGCTTAACTCGGCATAAACCATGGAATTACATGTTGATTTCTTAACTCCTAATTACCTTTTACAAAAATCCAAATGCAACCTTTCAATATTTAAGCCTTTTTATATCCCCATATCTCAGACGCATAAGATAGTATACTACCAACACAACAATCAAAGACAAACAAAAGAGATTCCAGGTTGAGAGAGAGCGACCTGATATTATTGTAAATTAAGAAAAGGGCCTTCCTACCCTGGTCAGACAACTGCAGCTGTGTCTTTGAGAATCGGTTATTATAATTAAAAACTATTCCGAAATATGTAAACGTATCGCCAACCTCAGAACACAACCATTAAATATAACCAATGTTTTGACGATTTAACTTTACCAACTCTTCTGAAGACCATATGCATAATCTTTGTTTGAGCAATATTTACTTCAAGTTCCCACCGTCTGGAATAAACTGACAACGAGTTCATCTGTGTTTGCAACCTTTCAACAGATTCAGAAAATATTACAAGATCATCAGCATACATAAGCAGAAACATATTTAAAGATTTAAACTGGTAAGGTATACATTTATCTTTTAGGAAAGACTCCTCAAAATGAACTATATAATGTCGAATAAAAGAAAATGTGTAATGAAGAATAGACGTGAAATGTGTAAATAACTTTATTTATATTTTTAGATGTGACCAAATTAAAGAGCGTCCCCGTTAATCCTGTTTTCTTTTGTAATTTGTCAGAGCCTCCGAGTGAGGACAGCGCTCCGTGATTCATTCAGCCATAACAAAATACATATGCATTGCATAAAATATAGTACTATGCGCGACGGCTACGCTCATTGAACCGAGAAGCGTCACGATTTTATAGCCTTCCCGGCCATGAATCGACATGATTGCTAAACGAGGCGTAAAACTAAAACTAACTTCACTCACCTTCGGTAAGTGATATTACATTAAAACGACATACCAAAACGAGGCGTCCTCTCTTCTCTGACACATCAAATCACCCACATTGTAAAACCAAAAGTCACTGTGTTCCTCTTAATCTGATGGATTGAAAAATAATGGAATGGTATTATTACGTGAAACGGACAGCTGATGACACCTCACTGCTGTACCCGTGCAGCTCGATGTCAATGAGTGCAGACAGTAAAACGCATGTGGACTGTTGTGTGTTTACAATGTCGATAAACATCATGTGTTGGCCAATTCCGCGGAAGGATTTGGAACATTTCATTTGAAACCTCCGGCTAATGCCGTAGGTTCCAAATGAATTCCCGTACTTCAAATACTCAACAACACCCGAAAATTGGCCAACACGTGATGTTTTTCTCTTAATTAGACCGTTCTAACACACTGCAGGTGAACAGGAAAACAGCGTGTTGTAACTACCTTCCCTACCTCGCCCCTCGCCCCTCACACACCTACCCTAGTACTCTCCCCTGGTTTACATGACATCAGCCTGATTAATATTCCATCAATGTTTGTATTTGTATTTAACCAAGCCGAGAGCGTCTACCGCAGTACACCCTGTCCACGTGGAAAACCAAGAGTTGGCAGTGACTATGCATATGGAACACTTCAACACAGTTGTGTATAAGGTAAGAGCGTGCCATTCAGTTGTTAATCAAGGACTACCTGCACTCCGATCAGTATACTAGTATTTCCCTATTCCTATTGCATGGACCCGTGAGCGCGGATACACGGGAGACTGTCTATCACCGCGTATATAAATAATGTGTTGAGTAAACGATAACGTTGTTTGTTTAACGCTGCACTGTGTTGAAGCAAAGCAACGACGGTCTGTAAATGGACGAACAAAGACCACACAATCGAATGATCGACATAGTGAGATAACGATCCGAACGGTACAAAGAAATGATATGATGACAACTAAGCCATAGAGCCTGACCTAATCCCGATCACCTCACCTCTCACGACCAACATAATATTATTGGGGACATATTCTAGGGGAATCACCGTGGGGCCAAAGATAACGATGCATAGTGCATGTTGTTGTTCTGTAAGGCACCACATTCCTTCATGGGCGTGTTTCAATTAGTGTATTATGAGATACGTAATATGGTTGAAGGTGTGAAAGTGTCACACAGATAGTGTGCCTTATGTTCTGTTCTGCACTGTGTCTAATGGTGAAACCTGTAACCTACACGTTCCTATTATTGTATGTCTAAGTGAATGTGTGATGTACCCCATTACACTTTGAACTGAGCGGACCCGTGAAGATCCGGGTTAGAATTGAGTAACCCATGCTTGTCTTAAGTGGCGACTGACGGATCGGGTGGTCAGGCTCGCTGACTTGGTTAACGCATGTCAGCGTGTTCCAATTGCGTAGATCGATGCTCATGCTGTTGATCACTGGATTGTCACGGATTGAGATGTGTTTAACACCGAATTTCAGCTACACCAAGGCATTTCAGCTGAACGTAACGTCTTGCACGGTTGCAGTGCTCACTAACGAAGGACCATAGTTGGAACCACGGATAGAGACGCATTAGACCTCTGGGCCATCCCTGTTCCACTTAAGGGGCGGTAGGGTAGCCCAGAGGTTAAAGCGTTCGCTCGACATTGAAAATTGGTTTGTTTAACGCCGCACTCAGTAATAACTAACTCTATGGCGACAGTCTGCAATAAAGTAGTCTGGACCAGACAATCCAATGACTGGCGCAATATGTATCGAGCTACGCAAATGGGATACGATGGTATACATTAGCTTCGTCAACGAGCCTGACCACCCGATCCTTTTGCCCCTCTTCACCAACAAGCATGGTCTCGTGTTCACCAATGATGAACGTTTCTCACTACTGTCAGCGTCACGCTAGACTCCCCGTCAATGACGCCAAGCTGCCACGTGACTGGAGTACTTTCAGTTCAGCGTTAGATCCAGCTCACTCGCTCATTCAACTGGGAAGTTGTGAACATGAAGCCATCACACGTGTAACCTCTTACTTACCAGTGTGTAAGGTTACCGGGTCAAAGATGTCCTCTCTGCTTTCAGTGTTTGACATGAGAACTACACCTGCTTGTTACACCTGCTTGTTACACCTGCTTGTTTCTGTTTTCTGTATAATGCAACATGTGGCAGTCGGTTGTTTTGTCTGGTATGATTGATAATATCGCCCACAGAAGCACCTCATGAAGTTATTACAGTCATATTTGTACATATTATACACCCTTCGCTCTCTTTCGGACATCCAACATCACGTGGGTATTATATGCAACTCTCGTTTTCAAGATTGCAGAACCATGGGTCCGCATATGACCCTTCTGTCGTTGCTATATATACAGAGTAAAACTTTCCTAACGTTTTCTGAAATGTTTTATCACTCCATGGATTATTGAAATCTAGTGAGACCATACCTCGCCCTTTGTACATCATTTATGTACCCCTGAAGACCCGGGTTAGAACTGATCTTCAGCAACCCATGCTTGTAAGAGGAGACTACCAGATCGGGCGGCCAGGCTCGCTGACTTGTCATCGTATCAGAATTTCGTAGATCGTTGCTCATGATGTTGATCACTGGATTGTCTGGTCCAGATTCGATTATTCACAGACCACCGCCATATAGCTGGGGGTATTGCCAAATGCAGCGTTAAACAACAAGCAAAACAGAATTTATTATTGATAACGCAAAAACTATAGCCGTACAACAGTCTATTGTAGCTACTATGCATAATGTCACGTACACACATCCGCCCAATAACAGGGTTTGTCACTAGCTATAGATAACGATCGTTCCATCAACCACCCTGCTACTGTGCGGACCGTAGTTGCCGCAGCTGCAGGTGGGTGAAGGTGCCGACGTTAACAGTCCAGGTATCGTCGATGAGGTGTGGGACGTTGTCACAGATGGCAGGGCGGAGATACCACTCCAGGATTTGACACTTTCAAACCAAATTGTGCACAACACCTCTTGTAATGTCATGTCCTGACTGAACAGGCTGTGGACTGTGATGGTTGAATTACTGGCGATGTTTTTAGAGGATCATAAATAATATAATGACGTCTATGTGTTTCTCAATTTGACAGTACCATGATCGTCGATTTAAACGGAGAAATAAACGCCAAACACATGCGTTGCTATGGATTTTGCTCCCACATCAAGTTGACACTCTCTGATATACACCAAATCGGCTCACTTTTAAATAAAGGTGTTATCCATTGAAATATTATAAATGAACATTATCATCTTACAGGCCAAGGTATTTTACACTGGTAAGTTAGATTTCAAGTTGCCACCCACTTGTTCCTTGTGACCTCAATGGCACGTCTAGACTAAGGCTTAGTCTCTGAATATATATAATTTTGATAGTAACAAACAAGCCCATTTATATTGAAAAGGAGCCCTAGGGAGACCAGAGATTCAGAACCTGAACCTGAGGAAATCTAGACTTGCTTTATTAAGGGCTTTAGCACTGCAGAGAGGGCTTGGCAGTAGGGAAATTAATGTGGTTCAGGGACTGTGAGACAGACTATGGCACGTCATATGTTGTGAGATACTTATTGATGTGATGCCTTTGATATCGCCTATGATACCCGAATCAAATCAGATCTCTTTTATTCCATTACTGAAGAGGCCACATGCCTATAGTACAAAGTCAGACAATAATAATGGCATACGATCACAATGTTTGCAAACGGACTTTCTTTATACTAAGGCATGGCGGATATATACATACCAAGTTTGCGAATATTACTTGTATTATTAATGTTCATTACCAAATTAAATTTACACGGATTAGGATATGTATCGTAATATTGCGGTAGATATTTTGTCCTTAACTCAGTGTAGTAAAGACATTCCAACAAAAAATAACACGATCTGTTTTCTCGTGGAATCAATTAGCTCACCATCGAATAATCAGATCTTATTTGTTTTATCTAAAGCCACTATCAAACAGTGGTACCCGACAGTTAAATATCAGGGCGCAGGGCGAGTCTATAATTCTGTGTCCTCAAACACTTATCGTACGCGTGATACACTACTTCTTCATATATTCATATTTGTCAGTATTTGTCGGTATCCAAATAGTACAACCCTGATCATTTTTCACGCTCGACAAGACAATCTACTAGTCTTTACAAAAGCAGTGCCACGTGAAAACAGCGCTTCCGTTCCAGGAAAGAGATGGCTGCCGATATGTCAGGCATGGAAATAAGAATTAATGGGAGGTCCAGCAGAAGGAAGTTCCTATGATCACGACTGTCCTGTTTTAAAGACTCAACAAATGTAATAAGCATGTACAGAAGATCAATGTTCGATATTTATTGCACCATTTAACTGACATCAAAATGCTATTGGTTTAAACATCAGGGGTGCTTAGATTTTCTTGCAATCGACAGATCTCTCCTCCTACACACATCAATACTCGGGCGTTATTAAAGTGAGTTTAGTTTTACGCCGCACTCAGCGTTATTCAAGTCATCCGTTTGACATATCCACTTTGTATTAACAAGCCTGTTCAATGAAAGTACTGTAAATCTGACTATGCTCACACACACACACTCACTCACTCACTCACATTCGCACGCACGCACTATTTCTATTTCACCAGGTTAGCGTGTTGCTATCAATACAGCTCTTCAGTGTTCCCATGTTATTGACAGACGCGGACGTTCGGCCAGTGTTGAGCCGGGATTGTCATGCCGCTAAGCGGGTGTGTCACTCGCTCGCTGTCCCTCGTTTCATTGGCCCATTCGCTTACCCATGTCACTATACGCAAGGGGTTACGGATGACATGTATCTTACATATGAGTTGTGGACTGGTATTTGTAGCGTTAGCTCGACTATATACATACATGACGATAATGGAGTAACACTGTCCACTGCTTGTCTTCCAGGTACAAGGAATTCAGTGAAGCATAGCCGCTAAGCGAAGTGTGTCACTTACACGGAAGTACAAACGTCCTTCACCTGGCGGCGACATCAAAACAGTTTGATTGCAGGTATACACAGGTGAGCTGCGAACATGACCGAAACAAACGGTAAGAAGGCCAGTTTGAAAGAGGATGAACTACTAGAGAAGTTTCTTCAACTCAGGAAGGAGGGTCTGAGCAAGGGTTTGACCGACGATGAAATAAGTAAAGTGTTTAAACAAAACAAACCATGGACATGGAAAGGGTTAATGTCCAACTCGGTCTTCCAGAGTCAGATGCTGTTAGTGCTAACGGCAGTCGTTATCGCCACGAAATTCGGCGTCAAGGATGTCGTGGAGGGGTATGTGTACGACTCCAAATGTCTTATATCAAACAACCCTTTATTTTCTGAGATGGCGCGACCTTTAGCTGATTGCAACATCTGCAGAGGTCTGACATCCGTCCCTGTCGAGAGAGCTATATCTACGGAGAGGTTTGTGGAAAAGTATGCCTACTCGAAAGTGCCTGTTCTCATCAAAGAAGGGACAAGTAACTGGACTGCGATGGAGACGTTTAGCTTCCACTTCTTCAAGGAGCTGTACACGGGCACAAAGGGGGCACTACTATCAGTGGAAGAGGAATGTCAGTTTTTTCCATACAAGACAGAGTTTGACACCCTGGCAGAAGCGTTTAATATGTCAGACGAGCGTGCCGCTTTACAACATGGGGAAGGTCCTTGGTACTTCGGATGGTGAGTAGCATTCTGTGTTAGTGTTTACAGTTGGCAGGTGAGATTCCGGGTCACAATAGGTCCCAAGTGCCTCATCATTGCAATTAGAGCAGTGAATGAGTGAGTTAAGCTTAACGCCGCTCTTAGCAATATTCCAGCAATATCACGGCGTGGGACACCAGAAATAGGATTCACACATTGCACCCATGTGGGGAATCGAACCCGGGTATTCGGCGTGATGACGAACGCTTTACCCACAAGGCTACCCCACCGCCCCAGCAGTTAGAACAGGGGGACCCGCAGATCAGGGCCCTGTTACACAAAGCGATCTCAGTACTACGACCATCTTAAGCCAATGTTAAAGTAGGGTGGCTCCATTCTGCTGGAACCTTGAGTTGAGCGCTCCTTTTGCTATGGTCTGTGGTCGGATCATGGATTGCAAGGTGGATATATACAGTAAACCATGGTTGTAGCGAACACGCTTATAACGACATGACGGATATATCGAACAGCTTGTTTGGTCCCGGATATATATATATATATATATATTATATATTCATGTATATTTTAGTTGGAATGCGTAAAACGAACTGCGGTTATAACGAGCTAAAATTAGTGTTCTGTCTGAGTTCATTAGAGCTAGAACTGTCTGAGATGTGGCTCGGATGGGCAGGTCGTTGAACTGGCTGAGTGTGTTTCATTGTACTCTTGTGGAATCCATGATTATGTACAGTTCTACTACAGCTTAAATATGTCAGCGTGCGGCTTTAAACAAAACTCATTCTCACACTCTCTCGTTTATGATCAGCAACGTATCGATTCATCGTGATGCCATCCCGACAAATTAGAGTAGTCTAGTGGTGAAAGGTGCAGCTCGACCTACTGAAAGCCCGGGCCCCGTCATGGACACAATGTGTAAAGCCAATTGCTGGTGGTATTGCTGGAGTATTGGAAAAAACTCTATTTTATATTGTAATCTTCCGAATAATGTACAGTTATTTGTTTTCTCGCGATTAAAGCCTTTCCTCAACTTCATCCGCATTCCTAAGTTAAAATGTTTGGGGTTGCGCAGTCTCTTAAGGTCAGATGCGGCGATATCTCAGTGTTGCCCGCAAAGAGGCTATGGTACAAAACCTGTTAACAAACGTTGACTTGTAATATTGACAAATAGCTGATGGAGTGAATGTTGTATAAGGCCTCAACCAGGAATAATTTACCTGTATAGAAATGTTAGGCCTGTCAAGTCTGAACTAGACACGCCATTATTTACGAACTTAAAAAACGATTTGCGCAGTCGGAGTACGATGACACGTTCCCATTTACATACAGCATTGTGACCAACCGATCCTCATTAATACATCGCATTAGAAATATGGACTGGCATGATCCTTCTGTGAACCTGGGCCCCGTTTCACAAAGCTCTCGTAAGCACTAGATCTCGTAACCTTTCTCGTATCATTCGTACTCCCTATGTTGCAGTACAGGAGGTACGAATGCTACGAGAAAAGCTTACGAGAGCTTTGTGAAACGGGGTCCAGGCTAGCAATTCTCGAAACGTTCGTAGCCTTACGAACTTCTTAAGCCCATGCTTAACACATTGGCTACGATCAAAGTTATGAATTCTTAGGGCAACGAACGTTTCGAGAATAAGGGCCCAGGCTAGCTATTTTCGAAACGTTCGTAGCCCTGCGAACTTCTTAAGCCCATTCTTTACACATTGGCAACGATCAAAGTTAAGAATGCTTTGGGCTACGAACGTTTCGAGAATAAGGGCCCAGGGCCCCGTTCCTCAAAGCGATCGTAGCGCTAAGGTGATCGTAACTCCCATACTTTAACATAGACTTACGACTGTCGTAGCGTTACGATCGCTTTGAGGAACGGGGCCCAGCATCCCATGGGGCCCAATGACTGGTCCACAGTCCAACTCACCCTCAAACACGCTTCCCTCAATGTAGACACTAAGACAACTATGAGCAGAGCGAGAACTGAATGTATCCTTGGCTCGACTTTGCTTGTTGTAAGAAGCCACTGAAAGGATCTGGGTGTATTGACTGTCATCGTATCCAAATTGTGTGGATCGATGCGCATGATGTCAATCACTGGATTGTCTAGTCCAGATTCGAATAGACCGCCGTCATCTAGCTTGAATACTGCAGAGTGTGGCGTTTAACATCATACAAACCAAACCTCCTTCAAAGTACATCACCATCATTGTAATTGGTTATATTCTGAGTGTAATCTTGTGTCACATGGCTGACAATAAATCTGATAAAGAAACGTTTGCAAAAAGGCGAGATTTGTTTCGTTCATTGTTTCCGTTACGTTCAGAAGCTCCCAGTTAACCCCCCACAGTGCAAGTCAACAAAGTTTCGTACACCTGACTAGCATTTGCTAAACATAATACTCACATGAAATAAACATGTTTTGATTATATCGATTTGATCGAATCCATAAGTACGTCAATCGGACATACATGTGAATCTGAAAGTTATCTGGATGACTGACCATACGAAACGTTATCAAAAACCGAATTTCCTCTTTCACATAAAAAGATTTAATGTTGTATTTTAAACGTTTAAGACTCAATCATAAATTCAGCTTTGCTGTTTTGTACATATACACCAGGCCATAAAACATATGCATATTAACATACTCTCTTATTTACATTTTGAGATAGTATCGTGTGTGAGTGAGTGAGTGAGTTAGGTTTTACGCCGCTTTTAGCTATGTTCTTTGGATTACTGTGGGCCTTCGCTTCCTTGAAGCAGAGATCATTGTCACATGTATCATAATCATCAATATTACAGGCATTACACCTTCCACAAATAAATACTCTCCATATATATATATATATATATATATATATACACACACACACACACACACCAAGAGTGAGTGAGTGAGTTAGGTTTTACGCCGCTTTTAGCAATATTCCACCAATATCACGACGGGGACACCAGAAATGGGCTTCACAAATTGTACCCATGTGGGGAATCGAACTCGGGTCTCCGGCGTGACGAGCGAACGCTTTAACCACTAGGTTACTCCACAGCGAGGTATTATCGCACACACAGTGTTAAAAATATTTTGTTTGCTTACCGTCGTAGCTATAACTATAAGGGGTGTGTGTAGATAATCGTGTCTTACAAAACAGACCAGTGTTCGGTATTATCAGCAACGACCTACGTTGTCAACCACACCCCCTTGCCTGACCCCCCGGATTGCGTCCTCAAATCGATTGTAGCGCTGCGACTAGTGTAGCTCTTACATTAACATAGAGGTACAACAGTCGTAGCGCTAAGATCGCTTTGTGAAACAGGGCCCATAGTCGCCATGGAGTAGTTGCTCGGAACCAATTCTAACACGGAATCCTTAGAGGGTAGACATGTTGCATATATGGGTCTTCCGCCATCCTACCCTCAGTTAACCCACCACTGGAACTGGCGCCGACCGTACGGTTATGGCACACAAAAACACAATTTAAGCTGTGAACAACTGGCGGTAAGTTAGTTAATCCAGCATAGAAACAATGTGTTTTTGATACGATTTTTCATATTTTTTTCTATGATTAAAAGCGGCTTTCTGAATAAGGTCATATAAATGTATATCATTTAAATGTTTTGTTAACGATCAACAAGTGTAGTGGTAAGTATCCAACCCCATTAGCCCGACCATATGTGCAGATCATGTGTCTCGCCCGACAACACGTGCAGGTGTGATATTCATTAACGAGACAGGATGTAGTTGCCGTGTTTCATCAGCCTGTCAGAGACGTCCACGTTGCTGCACTGGCGACGTAGAAAACATCATCATGTTAACTTGTATTCACTTGGCTGTGAGGTCGCCTAATCTATCAGTAAATCAAATGTCGTTTTTCTACTTGCTCGCAATTTTCTTTGATGTTTAGGAGAAATTCTTTACATTTGCATGTGATGTTGACATAGAAGTGAAGGATTGTGTAATGCTCTGAAAGTGGGGCTCAGATTGACCTAACCAAGGGAGATAACTCACAGGTCCATTGGCGGATCAAGAGGGGGGGGGGGGGTCAGGGGGTTCGAACCCCTCCTTATGAAAATGACTTAAGACCACATTGAAGATTTTTTTTGCGTTGGCGGAGCCAATAGAGGGTTCAGGGGGTTTCAAAATTCCTGGATCCGCCATGCAGGTCTCTGAAGGTGAGGTTAAATTGGACGCTGCCTACGTCAAGAACGCGACCACCATAGCAAGGGAGATAACTAATATATTAACTTTTCTAGCGTGTGTCACAGACGTCGACGAGAAACGGAAACGAATTTAGACATCAATAATCGATTCAAATATGCGTGACTTTACGTCGCAATTAAAGTTTCAACAAATTGGGGAATGAGTGAGTGAGTTTAGTTTTACGCCGCACTCAGCAATGTCTGTAAATAATTCAGTCTAGACCAGACAATCCAGTGATCAACAGCATGAGCATCGATCTGCGCAATTGGGAACCGATGTCATGTGTCAACCAAGTCAGCGAGCCTGACCACCCGATCCCGTTAGTCGCCTCTTACGACAAGCATGGGTTGCTGAAAATCAATTCTAACCTGGATCTTCACGGGTAATATGGGGAATGAAGCGAATACACGTACCTTGACGGGCTTCGAGGGCATATTTCGGTTAAACATCCCCAGAGAAGTATCTCACTCACAGTATGCCAGCTTCACATAGTAGGGGCCCTGTAAACACAGAAGCAGTAAAGGTGATGATGGATTAGAAAGAATCACCAACTATAGATAAGTCAAACACATTCAAAATAAACAAAGTTCAATTTGAAAGAGAGCCGCACGTTTTAAAATAGTACTTGTATATAAGATGTTGAAAAGGAAACGCTTATAATACTAATACAGAAAAAGTACGGAATGTTGAAAGAGACAATATTTTCGATCGGAAAAGTTCCCAGTGTGGTCTTACCGTAAATTATGTGTTATCTGTTACAGGAGTAACTGTCACCGGGAGGTTGCAGCCAAGCTGCGCAGTCACTACCAGCGTCCCTACTTCCTGCCCAACGACTCCGAGTCCAGCACCTTAGACTGGATCTTCATGGGGGGCCCGGGAGTGGGCGCTTTCATTCATGTGAGTGCAACGTTAGAAAGGAGATTCCTATAGTATACCATCTGGGATATATACATAGATATATACATCAAACACATCGTTTTAAGAAAATGAATTGGGTGGTAAAGTTAGATTCCGACAGTGTCAGTGCCTGTTGTTATCCTTCACATGACAAATAAAGTTCCTATATCTCCTCTGATAATCAAAAGGTTAACTGAATCGAAAATGGAGATATACATATTAAAGAATCCGATGCCGAAGTACAGTCAAATACTGTTGTGTCGAAGTTGAAGGGAGCTGAGTACTTCGAGTTACCCGAGGTTCGACACAACCGAAAATGATTAATAAACACAGTACATGTATATGGACCACTGTGTCAGTTCGGGACACATAGAAGTTCGACACAACAGTGTCTGTGTGCATCTGAATCAGTCATATTGTGTGATATAGATGTTGTAATGATATGAAGCATGAGAAGTAATGCATGAACTGCCCCCCACAGCTGGACAGTGTGATGCGGCCATCGTGGCAGGCACAGATCTCCGGGGCCAAGACGTGGCAGCTGATCCCCAGCCCTGAGTGCGAGTCTGTCTGTCACTCCATGAACGTCACGGTGAACAAAGGGGACATAAGTACGTGCTTCTCTACACCAACTTATAGCCCCTGAAATATACTTATGCTTACTGTTAAATACTTGAACTTATTTTTGAAGGAACACTTGTATTACGTCCGTTCATTTCAGGAGCAAGCATTGGACGTTAGGGTGCTACAGTTGAGATGGGGTTGAAAATAATTGATTTCGTTATTGAATGAACGGAACTTATAATTTGGACTTGTAATGTATTGTTGATAAAGTAAGTGATAGAGGGCAGTGGCTCGTCCCTCGCGAAACCCTTCCAATGTTGGCGGGTTTCAGAGGGCGGATGCCGTAGGCCATCTCTATGATATCTAGAGTTGTACATTTATGGACATATGATCTGGGGAATCAATATATTGGTATATTATTTTTTCCAATATCAATACAGAGGACAAAGCGATAGTAACAATTAGCATGTGATTTCGGTTTTCATGGAACAAAGTTTGTAGTCTTTGTTTGCGACTTAAGAATGTCGCCAGTTGAAGGTAAAAAGTCCAAAAGGGCTCCAGAAAATGGGATCTGAATGTAAATGTTCTGCTGGGCATAACAACCCTGCAAATCTAACTTGCGTGAACAACCCCCACCCTCACCAAACGCATGACAACCAAACGTGTTCTCTGCTGCGCTGTCTTACATGTACGTCTTCTTAATTTTGTGTTTCAGTCGTGGTCGACACCAACGAGTGGTACCACTCCACCTTCATCCACCCTGGCGAGCTCAGCATCACCATCGGCTCCGAGTATGACTAGTGCCGACACTTGCAGTGCAAACTGGGATGGGGGTGGGTGGGTGGGTGGGGGTGTGTTCTATAGGGCGGGATGATGGGAAGCGTGTTTTGGAGGGCGGGAGGATGGGAATTGTGTTCTGTAGGGCTGTTGGGGCGCGAAAACGTGTTCTGTAGGGATGGGAATCGTGTTCTGTCGGGGCTGTAGGGGCGGGAAGCGTGTTCTGTGAGCTGGGCGTTTCCTGTCTCAACCACGTGTCAGGAATTCATTGAGTCTCATTGGGGTAGGAGGTTATCAGGGCAAAAGGGTTAATTTCTGAGGTTCGGCACCGATGCTGGAACGGGTCTGCGGTGATTGCTTCCATGGTAGCCTATTTATTGTCAACTTTGCGGGTACCAAATTGAATAAGTCTTATTTCAAACTACATGCCTGAAACATATAGAAATATAGGACTAGAATCAAATATGACCTAGTGAGAAAGTAACACTTTAGATGGTAAAGTAGATCAGGACTATGTACATTGGACAAGAGATAGAAAATAAAAAATACATTACGCTCATTTTATGAGTGTATATTCTAAAAACTACTTTGAATGTTCTTAAAATTTAGATACCATTGTCAGCGACCTTGAATGTCTGTCACAAATACCCGTATATCATCGACTGCTTGAATTCCTTTGCATCTACTATTCCAATGTAGATATTTTATTTTATATTGGTTAAGGAACGGTTTGGTGTGTTTTCTGGTCAAATAACATGCAACTCATTAGCTTCCCATGTTGTATGAAGCGTCGTATAATCTAACGTTCATCGTCGTTGTGTTCACCAGATAGCTCATGGTCATAGGTTTAAGCTCATCAGTTCATTGATCTATCAGTCAATCACAGGGTTGGAACCTTTAATATATGCCACATCCGGGTATCTGTGTCTAGTAGTAATCACAGTGATTATTGCAATTATGTTCCATGTCATTGCTACCAGCTGATAATATATTAATATTTTTAATAAAAAGTTTCATGAGTATAGTGCGAATTGTGATCTGTGTTATAAATATTCTTTACGTTTTTATGCTCATTGCAAATTGATTTTATTATTGCTCATTTATTGATATGAAAGTTACTAGTGAGCTGTTTGATCAAAGCTCACTATTTTTTGGGTGTTCAAGTGTTATATACTCATGCCAATAATGGTTGTCACCCCCTTCAATTTTTTGTATTGGAGAGGGGGTGTGGGGTTGGGGTGGGGAGGGTGGTGACAACCATTATTGGCATGAGTATATATTAAAGTCATGGTAGGTTAGCTGTGTAGTTGGGTTATTTTCTGATTATATGGGTATATATGTTTGCTGTACATACAACATTCATTCTTTGATGTTTGTCTGTCTCACTGTTTCTCTATACATGTCATTATGTACATAGGTCATTCGGTTGTCCTGAATCCTAGATGTTTTTTCGGATCGCCCATGGAAGCATCCCTATTGGAACATTTTCTTCGTGTGACCGTCGCCAACTTGATGTACATGTTGAACGTGTTTCTGTCTGTATTTCGTTAAGCTTCTGCTTACCTGTATTCACAATCGTGCAAACCTTGTGCAGTGCGAAGATAATTTCAAAACTAATGTGATACCACTACGCCACAGCTGTCGGAAGTATATTGGTGGTAGCGGAAAAAGCCGAGAGGATCCGAGTGCGTAGTGACGGGTTCTGTGATGCTGGACTGCACATTATGACTCTAACGTCTTGGAAAATAAACACATCTTGGCTGTTTGAAATGAATAAACTGTAAAAATCTGTGTTTGTCAAGTATTTACTTAAAAAGCCCTGCGTAAGCGAAATGAGAGCAACGTTCACAAGAGAAGACTGACTGACTGACTTTGGTTTTACGCCGCTGTTAGCAATATTCCAGCAATATCAAGGCGGGGGACACCAAAAATGGGCTTCACACATTGTACCCATGTGGGGATTCGAACCAGGGTCTTAGGCATTACGAGCCAACACTTTAATCACTAGGCTCCCCCACCGCCCCAGCATAAATGTAACTAAAATGGTATGATGTAGTACATCACCACGAATATCCCCAACGTTTTTCCGGTGTGGAATGTTGCCCTAGTGCCCTGTATTTCTTGCCATAACCTACAGAACTGGGGAGCGAATAGATACAGCGTCTTTAAAATGTTTTTTATTAAATATAATTCATCTCGACAATGAACAGTGACCACCGTGCTGTCAAATTACATCATATTATAGACCTCGCAATAGTATTCCACCACCACCTTTTGGGGACATCAGAAGGAGATGCATAAGTAGACCAAAAGCAATGAAAAGTGTTACTGAACATCAAACAAACTGTTCTTTCTCAGAACAAGTAACAAAATGTGCATTTCTAAAAACACAATAACATCAAACCCCAAAACGTTAATCGATGATGACTACAGGGACTGCTGTAAAGAATAACTGAGGGTGAGATCAGTATGGCAGCTGCCAGTGATGAGCCGGATAGAACTATACAGGAATGTCTTCATACACATGCCATAGGGGCAGTACCATTAGCTTCTGTCAATCTCTGGAGTGGCCTCCCCTTGCAGGTTTCAGCAATTCGCCTTCCATACTCGAAATCCTCAACTGGGGAATTGGTTGAAATTGTTCATGAAATGCCTCGGTCAGGTCATGAAGATTCAGATGCTTTTTGGGATTCATATGGGCTTCGAGCAGGCCATGGCAATGTCTGTGTGGCACCCAGAGATGGTCTGTCACAGCTCGGGATCGCTGGGGTCAAGCGTTGTCGCCCATGAACACAGGAAGCGAAGCCAGTTGACGTGGCACAACATAACCGTCCAGTATGGTATCCTTGTGTTTTGGCCGCCTCCGTGGTGTAGTGGTTAGAGCGTCCGCCCGGAGAGCGGAAGGTGCATCTAAAGTTTACTGCGCTTAATATGAGCGAAATGCTTCCCCCTCACCTCCTGGGCCTCTGAGGCCCTTTAGATGTAGATAACGCATTTCTATATGCGACCTCTTGAAGTTCCCAAGAAGCAATTAGCAAGCTCAAATCAGTCCAGAACAAACAGTCAGCAAGATACAATATTAACGTGTTGTATGGGCTGCAGAGAAGTTAAAACTTCACACTCACTCACTGTCCGTAGTCAATACAGTCCATGCAGATAATTGCCTGAGCACTCTGCTCTCTGCACACGTTGCGAGTGCACATGCTGCAGGTCTGTTGAGATATCTTGTCTTTCTTTGTACTGCAGATGCAACATCTGCGACGTTTTCCATCGGTGAATCATCTGCAGGATCATCAGACAGAACATCCTGCATATTGTTTTGAAGCAGACGTGATACTGGCATTTCCTTTCTCCTGTTGACAAGTGGACGCATGAGTGCTTCAGCTATGGCATGAAGGGACTCACGCCTTGGTTTCTAGCTGATACATTCCACTGAGGGAACTTGACTCTCCAGGCTGTATAAGATGCAATGCCCGCAACGTCCAGCATGTCTTCCGGTTTGTGGAACATCCATGGTCCATCTCTTGGTCTTCCGTTTTGTGGATCCATCTGATCCATTGTATCAATTGCCCCTATTGCTTTGTTGTAATAAAGCACTATCTCTGGTTTCTTCTTTGGTGAACCATCACCGTCAGCTGTCCTGTGCGCTGTACAGAGCAAGGCTACACTCTTTGATTTCTTGAATTGGTAACTTACAATCGTTGTCTTGTCTTGAAATCCAAAGACTGGCCCATGAACACCACGGGCTTTCTTGGTGCTGAATGCTGCAGGGAGGAACCGCTTGTTTTGTCTGACAGTGCCAACCAAAGTCAGACCATCGGAAAGACGTTCCAGTCCAAGTGTGTGATCAGTAAAGACATTATCTGCAGTGATGTTATGATTTGACTGAAAGTAAGGTCTGCAGAGTTCCAGTGTAATCTTTCTGCCCAGTCCAACTTGGACAGTTCTACCTCCCATTCCAAGATAGGGCAAACATAGAAGGAAATAACAGTTGTTGGAATCGACAAGCCCAAACAGTTTTAGTCCATATTTATTAGGTTTGGCTGGAATGTATTGAATGAAGGAGCATCTACAACGAAATGGCATGGGCTGTTCATAAACTGTCAGATTGTGTCCATGATATCGCCCCAAACACGCGTGAAGCTCCCCCCAGATTTTCCGGATAGGTGCAAGATTACCCTCTCCACGCCTCTGACTTCTGGTCTCTTTGGCATCAAAATGCAGTAAGGTCATGAGATCCTTGAATCGGCGTTAAGATATTATTGCTCTCACAACAGACTTTCCATATTGCTCGCTCCACAAAATATCAGTGCCTGTCATATTTAGTTTCCAATGTCCAAAAGTCAATAATATTCCAACAAGAGCCCAATTTTCAATCTCATCTGTCTCTCTCCATTCGCTTTCTCTGCTTTTCCCTTTTTCTTTCATTACTCTCTTTCCTTCCTTATATGTAAAGATGACAGTTTTGTTCATGATGTTTTTAGTATGTACAGTTGAAATATATTTGTATCATTAGTGATGTGCTCTACGTGGACGACTTTCTGCAAAGGACCATGCATGATGTTGCGATGTTGAGTCCGAGCATGTCCTAGTGGAGTGGTGGACCATCTGCCGCCATCTTTACCTACAAGCACACCATGGTCATCAGAGTTATGTTCAATATCAGATGATGATGTTGATTCAGAAATCTCTGATGATGTATCGTCGTCACATGAATCTAGAGGTACAAAATCACTATCCGAAAACCACTCTCTTCATAAACGAGTGTTTCACCAATGGTACTGTCAGCAGCTGGAATATCCTTTTGCAGCTGCCCTTAAGGGTTGGTACTTCTCTTCCGCTTGCTCATGATGAAGTGTTAGGACCAGATGCCCCTTAAATGGCATATCAGCAATTTTCGTGGTAGTCAGCTACCGAAAACCATGATCAGGAATCACCTAACGTCTGTAGATTTAAAATCAATATGACTTATTTAATAAAAATTTTGAGAGCTACAAATCACTGACATGATTGATTTGGTGGTTTTTGAGGAATACATAGATCCATATGTTTTTGGACACGATAGAGCTATTTCTACAGACCTTCAAAGTGCCCGCCGGGCCTCTGAGGCCCCAGGAAGCATTATGAGGGTTAATGGCCCCTGAACTATCACCAACTTGAGTTTCCAGTCAAATGAACAGCAGCCCCATACCATGAGTGAGTCTCCACCGTAGGTCACAGTTTCCCGTAAGCTCCATCCGTGCGTCTCCACCGTAGGTCACAGTTTCCCGTAAGCTCCATCCATGCGTCTCCACACGTTCTACCATCAATATGGTGCAACAAAAATGGACTCTCATCACACAAATGAATTCTTCTCCATGATCTCCAATCCAAGTGTTCCCGTGGTCGACACCAGGCTAAACGTCCCTGCTTGCGTTGAGGTGAGAGGGGTCTCACGTCTTCTAGCTCCTACTGCGTCGACGTCTGACATTACAGATGGACACTCTATTGTGGGTATGCCAGTGATGGCGTAGGCAGTACACGTTGAAGTTGGCAGTGTCTTGTCTGTTGTACAAGGACTCCGTCATCTCCGGCATTAGTCGTTCCTGGACGTCCAGATCTTGGCAGATTCTCACCTGCCCCGAGTTGCACGTAAGGATCAAGTCATCGCTCGTGGAAGTTGTGAGAGTGA